AATTGCTTTTAGATAGGTAACTAGTTATAAAAACCACGAAGACACCATTTTCGAAAAGTCATCGAATTTTTATGACACCATCTATGAAAATAACGGCATTAACGAACCACTATCAAAGCGGTTTAAATAAGCCGCGTAAAAATGCAAGGTTTGTACTTGTAGTACGTGAATTCTTTTTTTATTTTCACCAAGTGCATTATCATTTTGTTCATATTAATATATTCTTTTTTATTTGGCTATTCGCTTTTTGCATAATCTTACCGTTCACATTTTGTTGATAATTTATACAGCGATATAAATATGTACATATGTACATGCATACATGTTGCCGCGTACGCGCCGATGATTCATTGTAAAACGAATGGGTGATTTTGTGCTTCTGGTTTGATCAGCAGTAAAACAGTCGCACTGAAACTTGATTCCCATTCAACACGGCGTTCATTCATTTAATCATTCGCTACCTATTGTCTAGCCAGTATTAGTTTTGCGCTGCCAGAAGGCCGATCGCCCAGTTACTCAGTCCAATCCAATTCAATTAACATCAATCTAATTTTCTAAATATGAGTGTCGCATAAGGCTTTCTAGATCAGATCAGATAAAATACTTGTAGTAACGTCAAACAGATGAGTAGCGTGGGTAGAAAAATTCGTATGGCAGTTATCATGCTCCGTAATATAACCGGCTGCCGGTTTGGAATAATACTGGGAATTTTGTATGTAAATCGACAAGCTCTACAAACATTATGGCGCATGCTTTAATTAGTACGAAAGTAATTTTTAATTAATTTTAATTTGATACATCACGCAATACGAAATGTTGACTTTCAAAGAGAGATTGAGTTCTCCTCTGACAAACCCAAATTACAGTAAAACAGATCGATAATACAGTAATTAAGTAAGGTATTATTAATGTTTCCACGGCAGTCGGGTCTACGTAACCGAAACGGACCCGGATTTTTATCCGGCCAAGGACTGACAGTAAGTATTGCCCTGTAGCTTATTCTCGAAAAAGCAGGCTAATACACAAAGGTACATACATAATCATATAGTATGGCTTTGTTGAAACTTATGAACTAACAATGTTACTAACGCGGTAATTTTAAAATAAATGCACTAAAAAAAATGAAAAACGTTGAAAATGTCTCATGCCTAGTTCGCTGATCTGTTATATTAACATCATCAAGCAAATTCCACGGTTTTAACCGAGAGCCTAAAAGCTCTACTTTATTTTTTGGTAAATTTAAATATCTTATTAGGTCATTATAATCTTCTGTAGTAATGAGATGGTATTTTGGTTGTTCTGGGGTAGGTAAAAACTCTTTATCGGACTTACTTTAAATGAACTCAGCGATGAGTTATTTTTTTGAGATAGGTTCTTTGGTGGCCCAGGCACTGGTCGAGTCAGGTCATGTGGAATTGGAGCAGAAGAAGATGCAAGATCAGGATATTCGACATGTTTTGCATTTTTACCTCTACGTCTTTTACTCGAGTTAACAATACAAAAGTAGCAATCATGGACATGGTTCCTTTGTTCACGCCAAATTCTTGGTGTCGCAAACTTCATAGACCTTTTTTCACCTTGACACCAGCCTAAACTATAGAATTTAAGTCAATTTCTATTACAGTTGATTTGCCGCTCAATTAAAAATCGCTCACCTTCCAAACATCTTTTACAATAACCACAAGCAACATTTGGAGTCCATGATTTATCTTGATTTCGAACAGTACAGTCAAAATATGCTTCATAGGCATCGCATAGAACTTGACATGACTTTAACTCATATTTAGTGTCTGACTTTCATAAATTCACCACATATATAACAAAATGCATCAGCATCGTATTTACACTCACGAAACACCTGATCGTCATTTATAACTTGAGTGCCATCTGGAGGCACTCTCTGAATATAAAAACTCCACTCCACTCTCGCGGTATTTTTGAATGCATTAAAACTGATTGAAAAATAAAAATAAATCGCAAAAGCAAACTTTATACCAAAAACTTTTCATTTTTGTGTCTAAATAATTGAAAAATCATAGTATAAAGTTTAGGACAAACAACTATTATTTTTTTGTTGACCCGTGTTATAGATTCTTTTGTTCTTACGTTTCTAATTTTCAGAGAGAAACCTATTTGAAATAGGTATATGGTAAATCTTCGTAGTTCTAGTGTTAATAAAAAGTTAAGTATTATCAGCAGACAACTTTTAAAGGAACTGTCAGGAATTTAAATTGACAATAAAATAGAATCATGGAGCCAAAACTCGTAGTAACATAGTAGACTATTATAATTAAAAATGCATTTAAGTTAGAATTTTGTTGCAAAACCTTTATTTATTGCCGAGTACGGCAGCGCACCTTTTCGGCTTAGGCTCCACTAAAGTTTTACACACTAAATTCGATATTGAATACCATGCCTCTTGGACATTTTCCCATAGTTTCTCCTTATTTTGTGTTTGAAAAAAAGCCATCCGATTTTTCTGCTGCCATTTTGTCAACATTGGGATTTTCTGGGACAATCTTCCGAAGAGACTCTTTTCTAAAAGGCGACGCACAATAGTTATCGAAGAAATTTATACACCCAATTCTCTTTGGATAGCCACGGAGGACTTCAAAGGATCGCGTTTTGATAAAATCTCTATGTAATCGTCATCATGAGACGGATTTTTTTTTTGAGGTTTTAGAGCAGTAAACACAAATTTTGGGGATTTTTTTTATAATTTTTGAAATTTCCCTTTAGGTATAACCGTTATATTGTAAATTTTGTATAAGCCTAAGCTTTGCCGCTGTGCACAGCTTTCCTCGGCCCATTTCTTCCACAAATAATACTTAAATATAACAAAATGTCAAGTTTTGACAAATATCCCAAAGAGTATACACGTACAATATTATTATTTTTTTTACTAAATAACGCCTAATATTGATATTTTTATTCCTTGATTATATTTTTTTGTCACGACAACAAATGCACACTTTTGTTTAATTTGAACACATAAATAACGGTTAAATGTAACAGAGCTACCGTCTTGGTGTTTTAAAATATAAATATTGTAAGAATCGATTACAGGCAAAATGTATCCGAAATCTATCGGACAAATAATATAGATTGTTAATTAATTCAAAACCATCTACGTACTTGATTCTATTTTTTTGTCAGTAACTGTATGTAGCTATATTTGAAAAAAGGATTTGAACAACTTAAACGGATTCGAAAATAGTTAATTATTTTCCACTTCATTTTTATTAATTTCAATTAATAAATCTAAAAATTAGTCACACCATTTTAAGTGTCGCCATAAGTCGACTAGTCGAAAAAAATGTCTTGCCAGAGATAAGGGCTTATATTGTAAGTCAATTATGATAATCACTCCAAAGCGAACGCTGAACGCGACAATGTCACTCCACCTTAGGCGTATGTTTATATTTACAATTTTTGTTTTCTTTTAGGTCTTCATTCATTGAATTTTTGTTTACAAACAAAAAACCGTTTGAGTTGTATAGATGTATATACAAACGCACATACATACATATGTACATATATACAATAAGTTACCATTGATAATGGGCATTTACGTTTAATGTAAAAGGGATACCTTTAAATTAAATTTTATTGCATCAATGAATGAACGTTTATGTCAAATGTAATCATCTTTGTAAACAAAATTATACTCATTACAAGATAAATAAATATACTATATACTGTTAAGGGAGAGCAATGCAATAACTGTAAGAAGTTTGATAACAATATGACCTAATTCACTCAACCACTTCCTATGACTTTCATGTTACAACAAAAACTACAACGCTCATTTACATACATGCATATGTATAACGTAACCGTTTCCTTAGGAGTACACCACATATATATGTGCATGAAATATATGTATTTTAGAAGTTTATATATAAAATATTCAATTTATATAACTGCTAATAACAGTAAATGCAACAGCCAATAGCATACACAAAATTTTTAGGAATTAGTGGGACTGATACCCTTTACGTTACTTTTCTTCACAACAATTAACATTACTTTTACAACTGAATGATGGTATCCTTACCAAATGCATGCAAACGTAAATGGCTTCGACATAATAGTCAATATACACTTGTGTATGACAAGCTTTTATTTGTACGTACAAGAACGAAATTCATAACAGTCCTATATGTACATATGACTATCAAAAATGAAATTTTCATCTGAAATTAGCTTTATTCAAATATAATATATCCTAAATGAAAATTAAATAACCATAAGGTGCGTTTAGAAAAATTATATTAACAGCTCCTCCCGAGTTACAAGGAGAAATTAAAACTATTTCGCAACTTCCTAATATGTCTATACATATGTATATGTATATAAAACAGAGCAACGATCAATAAATTTGTACATTCATATAAACCTAAGTGGGTATGTTTTATGTTTGAACATGTACACTTATGTACATACATCAATATATGTAAATATGTATATGAACATATACATGCATATATGAATACATATGTACAAGTATATACCATACTTGGAAAGCAAATAAATCAATTGAAGTAAAACTTTCATATATATAAGCGAAAGGCTACAAACACTTCAATTGCCCACACCTTAATCTGTACTAATACTCTCTCAATATTTAAATAAATAAATAACTCCACTGCTATTTATTTTTTTGCAAGAACAATGACAGCATGTACCTTGAAGACGAAACTCTAACGAGAATGAAAACGAGTTTGAAGGACGATTTCACCTCACTTCGGCAAAAACTCCGACTGTTGGGAGAAAACTGCAGTGTAACGCAGTATACCAACAAATTTAATGATTTATCCTGTGCTAAATGGCGGAAAAGTTTTGCAATAAGCAAGATGATATAAAATAAACCTTAAACAATTTTATTACATATACATATATATATTTGGCATATTTAATTAAATTTATATTTGCCTAAAAATTGAATACAAAAAAAAAGTGTTTGTATAAATAAATAAAAGTTAAAGAGTGCTTCATACCTGTGAGAGGATTCCATCATTTGAAGATATTATTAAATCATCCATTTTCTGCTCAAGCTCTTCTGTTGTTTCACTTAAAGTTGCTTGTTCTTTGGTTTCTTCGATTAGGTGTTTCTCTTCAGTTGATACAGGAGAAGGTGATATCATATCAGCACCAATTGATTTCTGTGTAGGCGTAAACTCTGGGGCGAATATATTTAAAGACGTAGGCGAAGTATCGAAACCAGTCCTTGGCTCACATACAAAAGTGTCAGGTGCCGAGCTTCGCACACTCTCAAATGAAGGATCATCGATGACAGTTTTCTGTTCCTCTACGCTGGTGATTTCATTTTCATCAGTATACAAATTCGGTTCATCAACAGACGTAAACTCGATGTCCGACGAATGTTGATGACGTGCCTCAGAGGAAGTACTTTCTAGATAAAACGATTCTTGCATATTTGCAGCGTTGTCCATATCGATAGGAATTTGTGGAATATCCTTCACTGAGGAATGTAATTCATTTTGCAAATTCATTTGCATTTCTTCCGTAGACGGCGAATGTGATATATTTTCTTTTTCTTCTACATCAAGCAACTCTTTCCCCTCAACCGCAAATCCTTGATGTGATAATTCTTCAACAAATGAATTGTTCAAATCTATTGGTAATGGTTGTACCGTATTAAATACATCTTCGATAATTTGAACATTTTCTTTAGGGTTCTCATGTATTTCGTCGGGTTTTTCAACATTAAGCGGTTGTAAGTCCGTATCCAAATCGACAGAAGTCTCGGGACCATGATCGATCAGGTTTAATGGCGATTGACTGAGCCTATCTGAACAATATTCATTTGCATTTCTTTCTAATTCAAGCATATTCACGCCACAATTATTGTGACTTTCCAAATGTTCATTAATTAATTGCTTTTGCTGTGAGTGCTCTACCGTACCCATACCAATCAAATCGTCTTCTTGCTCCAATTCATGCGGACGTTTTGCAGCTTCGTGCTCAAAATCATTTTCTTCTGGTAAAGCAATGGCGTCTAAGTTGGATTCTGCACTTCCCTTGCGTGGACTCTGAGCAACGAAATCATCATCGCCCAGTAGGTGTCGTGCAAGTGAGTTTGGTTGTGTTCGTAGTTTTATTTCCTCAGCACTATTTGAAGCATATTCTTCAACAACAAATACTTTATTATCGTTGTTACCGATAGTTGGAGAAGTAGGGCTTGAACCAAAGCTTGGAACAAATTCTATTGCATTCGGATTTAATTGAGAGTGCATTTCCGATTCATAATCAATATTTTCCTCTAAAGGAATATTACCATGGACATTTGTAAGTGATGGAAATTTGTTTTCTTTGTCCTCATCGCTTCTTATAATATTGCCTTCTGTTGGTATTTGCTGTAATTCTTGTGGTGGAGCACTCTCACTAAGGCTATTTGTTCGATTAGTATTATTGGTTGCTAACGAACTAGGATCGTCCTCTTCGGTCTCATCCGTCATGCTTCCAATATTAGTACCTTCTTCCAACAGATCTTCAACTTGTTTTGGTATTAATTGCTTTTGTGGTATATGTTCAATTTGCATTTGCACTTGCAACACACCAGTTTCTGCATAGCCGTCTTCACCGGTTGTAGAGGTAGTATTTGAAGTTGTTGAAAAATCACCATCATTTTTTATTACTTCTACGTCGACTTCTTCATTCTCTTCAATGCCGGTTGCGGCATTGTCAGCGTCTGCGCCAACTGCGACTGAAATGCCAACGACACCGTTACCAACTTCGTGATGGTCTAGCAAGAGTATATCGGCACCGACATCACCATGTTCGTATCCATATCCATGCCCGTTGCCAACTTCCTCTACGTCTTCCACGTCTTTACAAGCCACACTGGCTTTCAACTGCTGTTGTTGCTGTTGCTTTTCGCTCTGCTGCCCTTCTTTAATATATTTCCATTCCTCTTCATCATGCTCTTCATGCACCTCGAATTTTCCCCCAATCTCATCTACAGCAACATTATCACACACACCATCACCACTATCCATCTGTAAATTCTCCATTAAATGTTGAGAATTTTGCAGAAAATTGTCCAAATGCGCATTATCCTCGTGCTCCATTTTAACGTAACGTTTTTATCCGTAATTTCTTATTCCCTTTTACTTTGTTCACGCCTACTGGACCTTATTCTCTTTCCTTCTTAGCTCAGACTACCAAGAGTACTCAAAATTGTGAAAACAATCTTTGTCTGAATTTAAATAATTAAACGTCACACGAACTTTTAACACATACAGTTCAAAAATTGCTCAATGTTCCCCGTTTAGATTTAATATTTTCAACTTTTTCCCCAACAAACTTTCTGTATGAGTCTTCACAAATTTGCTGCACTTTTCGCACTGTGGAGATTTCAAAACCGACCGAAGAACACACCCGGCAAAATTATCCAACTGGCGCACGAACCAAATGGGCGGCACGAAATACATTCGTTTATGGTGTTGCCACCATGCTAGAGACTATTATTGTTGAAAGTATACCACCATGTTTGCAAAAAACTATTAAGTTAAGGCGCTAAGTTAACTCAGAAGAATGCAACCGAGTGATAATAGCAGAGAATATGTGATAAAAATAAGTATGAGCATATTTATGAAAATTTTTCATTTCCCAATTTTGTAACACCAAAATTAGCAAATATTATTAAAAAAGTAAACAAGTCACTGTTATCAATGCTACATGTTTGTAAACAAAAATTGATGACGTATATGTGACATGACATGTTTATTGTTTGTTCTACTTCTTCCATGTATGTTTTTTACATATTTCTGCTAAATAGTACCGAATATTTGGTGTATTTCAGCTCTATAAGTGATTCAATCGAGCGTCATCCAAAATACGATTTACATCTTCTCGTTCTTTCAAATTCTCTAGTTTTAATATAAGTTTTGTATTTCTTATTAACTCGGTTCACATTATGTAGTAAATGAACATTTGTTTTTATAGGAAATGATGATGGTGGAATTGACTAAACAATATTATAAAAAGGTGGCATCATTTTTAACTAAACATGTGGAGCTGATCGAATTTTAAGTTTCAGGTGGAAGTTTTTGCGGTGCAAATATATCAGAAATAAAACATATATTTGATTGAAAGGATATAAACAAAATGACGAAGAGTAAGGATTCTGACTTAAAGAGTAATAATATAAAGGGAAATGTGTTGGAGAAAAGTAAAATAATTAAAAAGGACAAGAAAAAACGCGTCGAGGATAAGAAAAAGTTACAGCAAGCCGTTACGAAAAAAGCTGAAAATCCCACGACTGCTGCAACAAACGGAAATACTGAAGCAGGTGCCATTGTTAAACACAAGAAACCAAAGAAGAATAAGTCCAAAGAAAACAAGGCGACAATTGACGCATCTGCAAAGGATAGCAGTAGCAAAACCTTAGAAATAATCGAAAAGAAAAAGGCTAAAAAATTGGCTAAAAGATTAAAAAAGAAAGCTGTCAAAAATACACCTAAAGGAAAAGACAATGTAAAGAATTTAAAGTCAAAGTCACTTCTGGATAAGTCAGATAGCAAAGGTAACAAAGGTTAAAATTAATTTTCGTATAGATCGATCTATATAAAACATCTCGTAAATGTCCCTTATTTAGAAAAAAAAGAACATGATCCAATCAATGCTGCATGCACCGTATTTGTTGGAAATTTACCCGTGAATACAAAGCGTCCTCAATTAATTCGTTTGTTCAAGGATTATGGACCGGTTAATGGTATTCGTTTCAGATCAGCCAATGGAAAAATTTTATTTAAACATAAAGATCGAAAAGAGGCTGGATCTCTAAGCGCTTGGATTGTCCTCAAGGATGCAGAGACAGTAACACGTGCATTGGCCTTAAATGGAACCGTTTTCAAAAATAATCACTTACGTGTGACACGTGGAAATGAAAAGAGTAGTTCTATGGATACGAAACGTACAATTTTTGTCGGTAACCTGAAATACAGTAAGTTCAAAAATAATCAATAAGGCTGTTATTTTAAATATTAAATACATTTTAGGTGCCAATGAAGAGAAGTTGCGTGAAATATTTTCCTCCTGTGGTGACATTGAATACGTGAGGTGCTTAAATGATGATAAGGGGTGTAAAGGTGTGGCATATGTTTGTTTTAAAGCTCCAGAAGCTGTAGGTTTGGCATTGGAACTTAATGAAACTATATTAGATGAACGTCCAATTCACGTTGAACGATATTCTGTTAAAAAATTGGGTGCAAAGAAAACAAGAGATGTAGCAGAGGGAGAGATTAAAAAGAAGTCAGCCGGTGGAACGATTCGAAAGGACAAAACAAAGAAAATTAAAGGAGATAACTTAAAAACAAAACAAGGTACTGACACGAGCAAAAAATCCAAGTTTCGTGGTGTTAAAGTCGAAGGTGCGAATGTAAAGAAGCAAAAGAAAAAAGTGACAAGCCAAATGCAAAAATTAGCCAAGAAGATTGCGCCGAAGGAAAAGTCTTAATCGAATGATTACGTCGTAGTTTAAAAAATACAAACATTTTTGTATTTAGAGTTATTAAAAAGTACAATTTATAAATACTATTTTTTTATTTTTATTTCTAATTGCTTCCTTAATTTTGCTTGTGATTCTATGGGAAACTTATTTGTATATTTTTTTGCGCAAGCCAAACAATAAGTACATGTATAGTAAAAACTACATTCCGCTCCTTTGCAAACGACATTTTCGCATACTGTACACTTGGCACCTATTATTACAAAGTACTCTGCTTTGGGTTTCCAACGAATTGGAGGTGGTTGAAAAGGATCACGTAGCACAAAAGAATCCTCCAAAAGCTTAATTCCATACACAAAGGCCGGAGTTTTGCCATAATAATCAACCATTTCCAACATATTGCACATAGAACATTGAAATTTAATTTTAGGGACGCGTTCGTCGCTTTGTTCACATTTTTCTGAACTTTTTGTAACATTTTCAGCTGCTTCCAAACGTGAAATTTCTGCCTCATCGTCTTTCACATTTAACTGTAAATCATCGTAACTATTTAAGTTGCATGGGGATCTCTCCGAGATTTTAGAATCTTCCATAGCGCCGTCTGCAAGAGAATTCGCAACAAAACATTGAAATATCCAAAATCTCAATGCATTCATATATTTATTTATATACCATTAATTTGAGGTTTTAAACATCATAGCATAATAGATAAACTCGATATTACATAAAAATCACCAACGACTACTATCCACTAGTTAACAATAAGTAAAAATACAAGTTTAGAGTTTAGAAAATTTCAAATCTAGCAGCCTTCAACTCGAGCTTTTTTTGGCAGTTCAGATGGCCACCAATACGGTTTTTCTACGTAGCATATATTGCCATCCACAAACAATTTGGTTGAACCTAAAGCTTGTTCTACACGCAAAAGTCCTAAAGCCCTATCTAAATTTGCTGCGCGGATTACACCAACATTGGTGCCTGCTTCCGTTGAGATATTTATCGATTTTGGTGAAGCCGGAACAGATAAACGCAAAGGCATTATACGCTTTCGCACTACTCCTGTGTGATGAACCCGTGCCGTTAATTCCTGGCCAAGATAGCATCCTTTATGAAAGCTTACACCATGCATATAATCACAATTAGCTTCTAGTGGAAAACTTTTGCCTGGCGGAAGATCTTGAACCCCTTCTCCAACGCCATAACGATAACGATGCATGCGATAGTTACAGTCATTGGTAGGTTTTGCTACCGTAATATCACCGGATTTAGAAAACATGTTTGCTAAATCTTTCCATGTTTTATCAGTTTTTGTTATGACACGTGTACCTAGGTCACGTATGCGAGGATCTGGAGTAGAAATGACCTCTTGTCCCACTTGAACACTTGTGTCCATACGAACGACGCTTCCAACTGGATTAAAAACGATCCATGGTCTGTACTCTCCATCAACTGCATCAATTTGAATATTTCGCCTTACGCGATAGAGGCGCAAATGTCGACGTAATTCGTTTGATATAAATTTATCACATTCAATTAGGTAAGTATTCGGTTCAGGGGTACGATAAATTATAGAGTCATATAGTACTCTACCGGCTTTGTTAAGGAACATTGTGTACATTGCAGAAGTTTTAGGAAGAGGTGTACTGCCCGACTGCAGATGAGTCATATCGTTTGTTATAAGTCCTTGCAAGAAGGGCACAACCTCTTCTCCCTTCACTCGCACTAAAACCCTGTCCGTTAATTGCTCAACAACCAAACGTTTATCAGCAAACTTTTCATTGCGTTGCACCCACATGAAGTTGTTTGTCGTCTCAATAAAACGCGCAAAGCTTGATTTGATTTTTGTTAGACCTTTTAGGATGTTCATTTTAAAGCGTCTGCGAATGGCGGGACATCCCATTATTTTAATAAACAAGCAACAAATATAGAATCACTTACGTTCAAATATTCCGTTACTATTTCAGCCTAATTTTCCTTTTTTCCTTTACAAAGCTATAGCACAAAAAAGTTTATATAAAAATTTCGAAAATTTATCTATACAATTTGTAACAAAAAGTTATCAAATTAATTCAAGGCAATATAGATGGGAAAATGCAAAAACAGCTGATGTCAATTACAACAGTTTGACAGATTTATTATTTTATTATCGATATTCCATGGTTGAATATCGAGCAAAGTGGAATTCAGAAATAGCAAATGAGGTATTTCAGAAAGTTTACTGCAAAATTTTGCTTGATGCAATGAAATGTAAGTGCACAAATTGCTTGACAATTATGATGCAATTAGTTATATTCTTTATCAACAAAATAAGATGCTGCAGAAAAAATATTAACAAATGCAACATTTATAACTTTTGCAATTTTAATCAAAGGCATATATATTTTTTAAAATATTTTTTATTATTATTATATGTTACATAATGCGGAAAAAAACTATAAAATTTCATAATTGAATAAAAACATAAATATCCGTTTTAAGTTTACTTGTAACATTTGTTATACATTATGCATTAGTTGTATTTACTTGTTAGCCAAAATTTCAAATTTAATGCCATGATCATGTTTTTCCAACTCAGATATTAAACTTGTTTTCGCAAAAGCAGCTCCTGGTGGTAAAACACCGCCAGATCCCGGCAATTTATCGTTTTCCTTTAATATTATTACAGCCGTACTAAGTAAAGCTACACAGGTCGCACCATAACCAGGATTCGATCCCGACACTTTGACTGTTAATGTTTTGGTTGGTGGAACCGTGTAGTGATCGGTTGGTTCTGACAGTCTCTCCGAACTTGGCCATCCCTTTGCTCTCATGATAAATGAAAAATGTGTTTGCTCCATCAAAGCTTCTGGAGGACCTTCGTGAGACGCAAATCCTAATGAAAAAACTTTAGGATATTTTAACAATAAGCGACGACTAAATGTAAACTTAGTTAAAAATCCAAACGAAACTGCAAATAAAGCAACTAGCACAGCTGCTATCCACGATTTAAAAGTAACATAAGGGTACATTTGAACAGGGCGCTTATGCTCATTTTCATAAAGGAAACGTTGTGAACGCATTACAACTGAACGATCTGGTCCAGGGAATGGGAGGCAAACTCCATTTACAATTTCAGAACGAAAAATAAGTGGTCGAGGTTTTAAAACAGGATTAAATTTCGGCAGTTTCTCTTCGTATAACTTCTTGCGTAATTCTTTTAGTTCGCCTGAATGGGCCAAACCAAGAACGGCGCTCTCCCAAGTACCATAATGAATTCGAGCACCTCCTTCAGAAACGTCTCCTTTTACGTAACTCTGCAGATAGCTTTCAACTGAATTTACAACACCATCAAAGTTTTTTTCTATAAAAACAACTCCAAGATCTGCCGGTATTGAATCAAATCCACATGCAGAAATTATAAAAACTTTTCGCTCTTGTGCTTGTTTATTATATTTCAGTTGCATTGTTTCCATGTATTGAGGTTCACCAGTAACATCCACTTGATGAGTGCCAGCTTCAAGACATGCTCGCACTACTGGCTCCCCAAAGAAGCGGTATGGTCCACAACAATTTACTAAAACACGACATCGCTTAGCCATGGCTAGAAGTGAACCTTCATTTTCTATATCAGCGATGATGATTGGAGTATCCATAAGATTTTTCTGCGCTTTTGCACCCATCTCTTGAAGTACTTTTTCTAGCTTTTCTTGACTACGTCCAGCGATACCCCAGCGGTAGTTTTGAAGTACACTAACAGCTTCAAAAACGGTGTATTTACCAGTAAATCCAGAAGCTCCAAATATTATAATATCTAATTTTTCCGACATTTCTGCTTTCGTGATTAATCACTTTTTTAGCAATATAAAGATAAATTATATAGTTTTTGTTGTAAATATTAAAGCGCTTATCTCCCCTGGTCAAAAGTCGAATTTTTATTATATCAGTAAACACGTCATAAACTCCACAGCCTAAAATAGATTGTAAGGCGATATTTGCATTTTCAGTATATAAAGTATAATTAATAACTGTATCTTACAGAGTTATTAAATGTCACGTATTCTTTCCCAATGATAACAATAAAAACCAAACTTAACTCAGCAACACCTTTGGAAAACCTTTGGCTCTGCCAGTCTGCCACCTGCTAAAGTCGAAATTTGAAAACTCCGAAAATTTACTGATTGGAATAACTTAGTGGTTATCTTTAATTTTAATATATTGCCAGATTTAAAAATTTATTCAACATACTCATATTCCGTTATTAAGTATAATGGCTAATCCACATAGCACTTTTCCTTTGTTTTGCGTCAGATATTTGCTTTAACAGCAAAGTTCAATGTCTGCTTTTGTATGAGTATGTTCAGTAATTTTTTACGATTTCCCAAACAGTCGCCATTTTTATTAAAGAAGAACACTAGATTATAATCTACATTATCTGCTGAAAGCAAAGCGTTCATTTTGGCATACCCTTTGCTTTCTTCGCTTCGTTATTATTATATGAACGAAGAAAGTTGTATGTGAATGGACCATAATGAAAGTTAAATTAAAAATTGTGTAAAAAAAATATATTTATGATATAAATCGTGCTATTTTTCTGCAGCATTGATAAAGTTGAAATCTTCATTTTAAATTGTTTGTGGTACTTAATAATGTTTTCGTTATTGCTAGGTTGTTTTGTTACGCTAATGTCATATTGGCAGCGCTTCCCTGCGAAAGTATTACAAAATGAAATAAAACAAAAACTTTATCAAATGCGTCATTATTTCACAATAATTTGAAAGAACGAATAAACACTGTTATTTTAAACACAAATTGTACGGTAGATTACCAATGGATAGTGAATCCAAATTATGTTCAGAAAATTTAGAAAACCTGACAAATGAAAATGAACAAAATGGTTCCTTAAATCCAGAAATAGCAAGCAGGGAAAGTGTTGGCGCGCAATGCAACAAAGAACTTTCCGTAAAAATGATTGCAGAAATGAATGAAAATTCCGGCTATTCGGACAAAATAGAAGAGGTTAGTAAATCTGAAGGTTCACGAAAACGAGATGCTGCTTGTACAGATCATTCTATGTCCAAACGCTGTAAGTTGTCTGAAGAAGAAACCTCAGTAATAACACCAAAGGCTTATGAAGAACCCCAGAACAAAGGACCTGAATTTCAGAATGACAAAGTAGTAGAGAGTACTGCTGACAGCAATACGGTAGAAGCCCGAAATCTGAAAGAGAACAATTGGGTGGTAAAAGTAAAAGTCGAGTGTACGACTGACAATAACGATAAACTTCATATCAATAATCTTCCTTTTGGTTCTGGAAGTTCTAATCCGGTTGATATTAAACCCGCAGTTAAGGTAGAAAAGGCCGAAGCTAGTTCTACTTTAAGGCAGTCTTGCCGATTCGGCATCCGTTGCTATAGGTATTTAAAATATTATATTTTTATGAGTAAATAATAATTACATAGCGTTTTGGTTATTTAATCAGACGAAATCCAACGCATCGTTCAGAAGAAGCTCACCCAGGCGATCACGACTACCGGAGACCTATTTATCCACCTCCTCCTAAAGGAACACCTGACTGTTCTTATGGCGATCAATGTTACCGTCGAAATCCAATACATTTTGAGCAGTTCAATCATCCTCCAGAAAGTAAATAAATACAAATTGCAAAACTAATTAAACATTAAATTTGATAAATTCAATTCGATTTTAGATTAAAAACTTTCTTTTTCGTATTTTAACTCGAATTCGATTTACTCTTTAAGCTGATTTTGAACAAAATTACAAAAACTATCGCCTGCGGCAAAGACGACGTCAACAACAGGGTGATGATAATATAAATAATAACAATTTTGAACTGGATGATGACTTTGAGGATCCGTTTAATGATGACGATGCATTCGATTCAGACTACGAGCCGAATAGTGATGACGAGGACGATGAGGATTATGATGCTTGCGATAGAGCTGAAGAATGATGATTCCCTAGTTGTTAGTTCTTTTTTTATATATAAGTGTTTAATTGGTGTAGCAAATAATCACAAAAGTATTTCAAAAAAATTGTTAGACATAAATGATTTTTAAATATATAACTTGATAAGTTTAATATAGATCCAAATAAATTGCAATTATTAATTTATAAGTTTACGCTATTGATTTTCAACAATTCCCTTAGATCAACAGCTGTGATATAGATATTTATGGCTTAAATGGTTAAGTTTTTAGATTTTCTTAAATTTTTGATGATGTATCACTTAGGGGAAACATAATATTAAATTAACTGTTTTTTTGTATCACCCTGGAAGTTGTATTGAAAATTTTTTTATTTGATAATATAGCACAGATTGTTGTACTAGGCAACACTAAAATTTCCGCTGAAATTGTTCAAGGAGGATTATTATTATAGCATATAGCAGTCATTCAAACTGGCCGATCAACATCAAGCTCTTGTAAGAAATCTTCTGTATTTGTGAAGGGTTCGTTACAACCGAAGTTAACGCTTTTGTTTGTTATCTTAAATAATTATACTACTAAATTTAGAAACTTTAATTTGAATAGAATTTGAGTGAATAATCATTTATTGTTGCTACAAATTTTCTTTTAATAAAATCCTTCATCCAAATCATCATTCATTTTATTTTCAAACACAGCACCCCACTTCGCTGCTTCTCCACCACGCACTTTCACGTTATAGCAAACATTTTCAGCTTTTAAAACACTTTGACGCATTGTATAAATTTTACGAGATAATTCTCGAGAACGTTGTACATTAAGGCTTATATACCTGGAAGACATAAAATTTAATTGGATCGTTTTCGACCTGTATGTTTTAATACCCTGAGTAAAGCTGTTGTAGAACCTTGCACGTTTCCAAGCACACATCCGTTTCCCCACTGCCCAAGGAATTAATGCATCGCCTCATTAATTCACCAGTTAGATCTGCTATTCCCAAAATGTATTCTGTAGGGTCAACAATAAATTCAAACTTTTGGGGTACTGAAAACATATAAATTCATATTAATTTTTATAATCGCGTAAAAATGTATAATAATATTGAATTTTTGCTAATACTATACCGGTTTTAATATCATTTTCTATATCCACTTCATTTGGGCTATCTATTGATTTCTGAGAATCGTCTTTGATTGTATTAAGTTTATCATCTCGTTCATATTGCATTTTTTGTTGCAAAACCATCCAATCCGACATTGTGCCTGACATTTCGTCCGCACCATTTTTATAATACTCCATAAAACTATAGGCTTCGATGAATTCCTGTAATCCCGGTGAGTATGAGCACCTGTATTGATAGGGATCCTGTCCAGTTAGCTCCAAAGCTATAGACTTGAAATTTACCTCAATCACTTTTGTCAATCGTTGTTCGGCTTCTTCTAGTACTTTAGAACGATTGTTTTTTCTACCATCTATGGTATGTAAAAGAAAAATTATACGTTTTGCTTCAATGGTGATATCGCGGCTAAGTTTCACAATCCGTTCATATCGATCATGTTTGTCGTCCAGCTCAAGTGCATATTCCTGGAATACTTTTACAACGGGATTCAATTCCTCACCATAATTAGTATCACGATCACTTTTATGTTTTTGTTGATTTCGGCGGTTATTATGCCGAGAACGTGAATTTTGTGACATTTTTTATGTTATTATGCTTATATCGTCGTATACAATGCTTTAAAAACTCCAATTATTTACGAGTGCATATATTATCGTAAACGGGGCATATATACACACAACTATTACCTCTAACTGAAACAGATGCAACCAAATTAATCGATTTCCGAAACAAAGACTTGGAGACTCATCGATATTAGATTTATAGTTTAAGCGAAACCTACGTAAATGCATACTCATAGCAATTCCAGTAACCACCTCATCTTTACAGGCAATAATTATTGCTACAGTTATGAGTTTGCTAAAATCACTTAAAGAACAAAAATACCACTTCATAATTTATGTAGATAATTGTTTTTGAGAAATTAAGTACGAATCGATCTACGCTCTCCCATTCCAATTAATTGTCATCTGCATGTGCATGCATACACATAGAAATTTTGCTTCGCTTTGAGTCAGAGATTTGCTTTAACAAAAAAGTTCAATGTACGCTTTTGTCTGAGCAAATTGTTTCGCAGCTCTCATCTATTTATGATTTGCTAAGCAACAGTCGCCATTTTTATTACACACAAGAACATTGCTAGCCTCAATGGCAATGTAGATGGTTAGCAATGTGCATTGTCTATGGAGATGCGGCGTTATTATTGCTCAGCTGTAGATCTGTCAAAATTGATCATTTGACAATTTTAAACCGACATTCGTGGCAAAGAGATTTGTTTACATGTTGTTATTTGAAATAATAATTGTAAATAATAATTTTTAATACATAGTTTAATATTCAATACTAAAGTAATGCAAGATCACAACAGAAGCTTTGCAAAAATTGAAGGAGACAAAAACTCGACGACTTTATGTTTTGACAAAAATGATTTCATGAAGGTTTGCGCTGTTTAATTGCGTGTTTATATTATATACATATATAAAAAAATTTATTTAAGTTATATTTTTCTCAGGGAAACTTTTCCGTCGATGAATTTTTACATAAAAATCGAAATGCACCAAGTTTGGAGCAGCTTCGTGATGACTTAGGTATATATTTGAAAGACTTGCGGTCCTCGATGATTGATCTCATTAATGAAGACTATGCTGACTTTGTAAGTTTGTCAGCTAACCTTGTTGGATTAGATCAATCCATCGCAGATATAGAAAATCCTTTGGTTCAGTTTCGTAAAGAAGTCGAAAATATTCGTACTCTGCTCAAAGAATGTGCTTCAGAAGTGCGGCATAATTTGGAGAAGAAACAACAGTTTCGTGTTCAAAAGCGAAATTTGCAATGTTGTCAGAAAGTGGAAGAAACCTTGCAAAAGCTTGAAAATTTATTAGCACATCAATTAAAAGAAGACCTTAAACCAATTGATCTAGAGCGTACAGCACTTGAATTAATACAACTACAATTCAATCAAAAATTTTGTTGCGATATATTAAATGATGAACAGAAAAACAATTCAGAAAAATTACAAAATGAAGTATTCGCAAAATTGCGAATATTTTTTAATGATGCCTTAAAAAGTTCAAACAGTACATGCTCAGAACTATTGGAACGATGCTTAAGAATTTATATCACACTTGATGCTTGTAAAGTAGCAGAACAAGTATTTCGTGAAGACACCGTTGCACCTTATATGAGCGCTAAGATTTCGGAACATTGTCTGCAAAATTCTCCCCAAGGTCTATCGGGTATATACGGAAAGATTTTAAATTTTATATCACTCCACATGACCGATTTGCTTCGCTTGACACATTACACAGACAAACTAAGCGGTTTTAATTTTTTGGTAAACAGCTTTTGGGTGGACGTAGAAATGCGTTTAGAAACACATATGTCATCGATCTTTGCTCCCGGTAATTCCGACGTTTTCTACATGAAATATAAGTGTACACGAGATTTTTTGTCAAAAATTGAAGAGCTCCTGGCAAACGACGACGCAGTAAGAAATTTCAAGGAACATAAACAAACAATAAGCTTTCAATCTCGATGGAATCTACCAGTTTATTTCCAAATATGTTTTCAGGTATGAAAAGATAATGAGTAGGGATTATCAAAATGTTATTCATATAATTAATATTACATTGCAGGAGATAGCAGGAGAATTTGAAACCGTACTGGTCCCTTTGCTACATGCAGACATGATGAATTGTAAATCAAAATCAATTGATTTTCGCTTTCAATTGACCGCATTTAACAGCGCGTCTAAAGCTATAGAACACTGTTGGAAAGAAGGTGTCTATCTCTCTGAGATTTTCCCAAAATTTTATAAACTAAGCGTACAAATCTTACTACGACTTTCTCGGTGGATCTCCGATGTTTTACAGCTCATTACGAAATTCAGCTCAAAAAGCAGAAACAACTCAGAGAGTTCTATTCAAATAAACAAAACGAATGTACTAATTGCATTATATGCAGATGTGCAGGAGCTAATTGAACAATTGCCTCAAATAGAAAGACACATCGTTATAAATGTACCAAATGAGATACAAAGTAATGCAGACGTGTGTAATGTTATTGCAAAATCAGTCGGCGATGTGCGGGAAACACTTGACAGCCATCTAGGTGCGTTTCAAGATGCGCTAGTCGACATTTTAATATCTGAAAGTGGTATAGAAAGTGTTCGTCAAGTTAAAGATTTGCCACGTTTGTATCGGAAAACGAATCGCGATACACCTACGAAATCATCTCCGTATATTGATCAGATGCTACGTTCTTTGAAATCCTTTCAAAGTGAACAAAGTTCAAAACTTGGAAATGCTATTGCCACCAATGTTTTATTGAGAGTTTGCTCAAAAATAACTAAAGAGTAAGTAAATGCATTTTACTATAAAACGTGTCCAAATAATTGTAAACACACGAATTTTTATGATTGCAAATGTTTCACTAGAAGTGTGCTAAATTATACATAAATTTTTTTAGTTATTACGTTGCAGTTAAGGATGTCCTCACATCAGTGCAGAAAACAGAGGAATCATTACGTCGTTTGCGCAACCTTAAGACCGGTGCTACATCTGCTCTTACAACAGGAGCAACAACAATGTCTGATGATGATAAAATTCGATTGCAACTACACGTAGATGTCATGGCATGGACAGGGGAATTGGCCAAAATGGGTTTAATGCCTTCTCAAGTAGATGACTTGCTCGAATTAAATAAAATTGTCGAAGCGAGCACGAAACTGAAGGAAACCAAAGATAATTAATAAGAACAGCACAATAAAGTTGAATTATTTGAATTTGTATTTATATTTTACAAACTTTCTATTAATTATACCTCCATCATCATCAATGACAACAAATATGTGATTACATTGTATTTGTTAGCACTTCTAACTGTTTAGGCACTTTTTAATATTGTCTCATAATATTTATCGGTTATATGTTGTGGTGTCCAATGACAATTATATAAAACAGTATGCTTTAGTATTATATTTTATGTTGTATAATAAAAAATCTATTATATTTAATATTGTAATTTATAAATAAATGCATCAACAGTTGTTATATACTTTTGGTGTTGAGATTTTTGGAAATGACATTATTTTCGAAAATTAATTATACTAATTTTTTCAAATATGCTTGTTAACGAATTGCAAATTCAACACGCGTTATATATATATAAAAATTGTAAAAAATGTAAAAAAAAAACTACACATCAATAGTGCAATCAAGCTTTATGTTACGAGCTTTGAAACTTATTGTGCGAATCTATGTGTTGTTATAATTTTAACTCTTCGGTATCAGGAAGTTTTTGGAAGAAGGAATTAACGCGTTCTTCGGTCACCGCTTCCAAGGTGGAAGGATTCCATTTAGGCTTTTGATCCTTGTCAATTAGTAAGGCTCGTACCCCCTCCTTAAAGTCACTGTCTTCCAAATGACGAACAACCATACGATACTCCATTTTTAAGCATTGCGGTAGAAGCAGTTTTGAACCCAACTCCAGTTCGCGGAAAGTGACTTTTAAGGACAGTGGTGAAACTTTTTGAAGCATCTATTAAAAAAGGTGATAAGACATTGTTATTTAAATTCAAGTTATGTTATAAGATACATAAAGAAATATTATATACAGTATACAATAATTATTTTAAGGTTTTAAAATTTATCCTAAATTCACTTATATATTATATATGTAAGCCTTTACCTCCAGAGTTTTATTCGCCCATTCGCTCCCATCCCCTTTGAGATTTTCAAAGATTTCTTCAACAGAGTTAGCAGTGAAACATTTGTTTATTTTATCCAAAACACTACTTAAAACGAAGTCTTTCTTTGTTGGTGTATTATATTTATCAAGAATATCTTTGACAGTATCAGCATCCTTGCAATTTAGCAGCTCCGTTTGTAAATCTCCTAATTTTGCACTTTCACAATAGTGTGTAGCTAATCCAGCTTTTAATACGTCATCACCCCTTAGTCGAAAACCTGTTAGACCTAAGAATAGACCCAATTTTCCTGGCAAACGTGATAGAAAATAAGAACCACCAACATCTGGGAAGAGCCCAATAGCGGTTTCAGGCATTGCTAATAGCGTACGTTCTGTGGCTACACGAAATTTTCCATGGACAGAGAGCCCTACACCACCACCCATGACAATGCCGTCAATAATGGCAATGTAAGGAATAATATAATTTCCGATAAGGGCATTTGTGGTATATTCCTCACGGAAGAAAGCTTTTGATTCTTCTGTGGGTCCGGCTTCGACTATGGATCGAACATCACCACCAGCACAGAAAGCTTTGTCACCAGCACCTTTAATTATAACCATGGATTTGGTCAGTTCACATTTCTTCAAATGCTTGTAGACTTTTCGTACCATTTCCAAGTTGACTGAATTTAAAGCATTCGGCCGATTGAGAATAATCATACCCTTGTCCGATGATTCAGTTGCTATTACATATGAGGACATATTACGTGTGTCCATCGGAGAAGACGTGAGAGAACGGCTTAAATGGCTTTTTGAAAGTAGTGAGGCGGAGCAGGTACGATGACCAAAGGCATATATTATTCGATGAATTGGGTGCATCTGACAAAAAAGATTAAAAAATATTGAATATACATATACACTTCATACCTTTAAAATACTTTTATATGCATGTAAGTAATTAACAATATAAAAGCAAAACTGATAGTCTTTCCGAAATAGACCTTCATAAAAACAATGCTGTTCCGAGGGTTATAATCGCATAGATGTAGTTTCGTTTCAAAGTTCACAAAATTTATAGTTTTTTTGAACGGTAAACAAAAAGTTAATTACTTTAGGATACAAGCCCCATTAGTCCAATGGAAAAACACGGTATTTCATTTCTTGATGTCGAAATATTACTCGAAATCTCTTTTCAAAATCTACAATTAGAGTACATTTGATTATTGGTAGGAGATTTCCTTTTATTTACAGAACCAAATAGCGAAATCAAATCTAATTCCCCAGCTAAAAAGTTGTGTAAATTATCACATGAATTATAATAATGCGACCAGTTTCATTAAATTAACGTTTCGAAGCGCACATATTCACATATACAAACAAAATTTAACACGAGAATTTCTTTGTTGTTTTATAAAAATGTTGCGCACTTTATTTCTAATACTTCCAATTGCTCGAATATAAACGTTTGGCTGTTTTTATGAATGATACATACATTACATATAATTCCCTAATTTATGTGACCCCCAACAACTTACGGTTCTGAAGTTCCCTACGTAGTTAATATATGTATTTGCTTTTAGTTGCGCAATCGAAAATTGTTGTTTCTATATTGTGCTCTGACACCAGATCACTTCGCCTGCGTTAAATTGTTATCTGGTCGTTTATCGTATCACGCTATTGTCACCGGTTCTGTTTTGGTTCTTATTTCTCTTTGTCGCTTTTCGTGGCAGTGTTGCAATATGAACTAAAAAAATACGTGCGCACCTTAGGGTTAATTTAGATATATGCCAAAACGAGCCATAGTTTATTATTCCATATAAATTAATTTAGGAAAGTATGTGAAGAAATGTGTCCTTAGGTATAATTCGATCTCAATAACAGTTTTTTTTAATCAAATAATATTTATATATAAGAATTGTTATAAATACTTTGTAGGTTATTCACTACCTGATCTACAATTAAAGTTAACAGAATTGTGAAAATCCACAACTTAAAATAATTGAAATCAATTATTATAATTATATTCTTAAACTAAAATTCATTTCGTAATCAAATACTTTGGTGGAATACTGTTGTGCGCTTAGCTGGATAGAAATCCAGGATCGTTCCGGTTACGTAGACCTAACTGTCTCGAGAACTGACTATAATTCCGATTCTGCCAGAGCTTTGATCGAGCTTCTCATTCCACTTGGGAGAACGCCTTTATTTTATAGAAATAATAGTGGACAGATATCAAAATACCGGCTATGTTGACATTTTTGTCCACTTAAAACTAAAATAAAATTGTTTTCGAAAAGAATGTGATTTCCTTTATTTAATGTTTAACGCAAAATTGTTGGGATTTATCTATTTTTGCTTCATTTGTTTCGTTTCGTTTTGGTTTTGTTTACATTTTAACTACTCACGAAGTCCTTAGACCTTATAACCCACCAAGTGACGTTTGCCAATACATTCACCAATATAAAACCAGAAGATAACCTCGGCAGTAACGAGTGTGTTCAACCATGCCTCTTTTACAGTCAGGTTTTTGTATGCGCCAGTACGAGCACCATTAATGAGACGACCAATTCCTTGACGAATAGCTGGAATGTCAGCTGGAGTGGGTGGTGTTAGCTCCACTTTTGCGTACTTAAGAAAAGTTTCAAGTTGTGGTCTTGCTTGTACCAACAATTCTATAATATTATATAATACAATACATATGACGAAAATTCATTTTAATTTTGAATACTTACTGTTTACCAAGGTGGATCCTTTTGTTGCAATGCTCGCCATTTTTTTTTTAATTTCGCGTTACGGTATTTTACACCACAGAAAATAAAGATAAATTACTTTTTTAGAAGTAAAAATGGTAATGGCTGAAGACAAAATTCTAGTCTTGTGGAAATATCAGCTAAACGTCAAAACCTACCACAAGTAGGAATGTAATTGGGCTGCGAAAGTGGATCGTATTTATAAAAAACCGGGTACCTGGGTATCTATACAATGTTGGCTGAAACTTTAACTAGTGAAACTATTGGATATATTTCGAAAACAGCATATTTGAATAACCATTTTATATTTGCTTAATAAATTAGTGTTAATTTTCACAATTGCAAACCAAATAGTATTTTCTATTCATTAAAATGATGAGTTGTATTTTATTTGTAGAATCGATAAGCCGTTTTAAGTATTAATAGTTCGGCCGTTGTAATTTGCAGTATGTATTACTGAATAGACAATCAATTCTGGTCGGAGCGGACCTGAATATACACCACTGTTACCTAACAACCTCAGTAAAATTCTTAAGATCCATTCCCATCTACAACAAAAACATGAGCTTAAGGCAGACATTAAAAATCAGTGATTGATTCTAAGCTAATATTTCGCGTTGAAGAAAACAAGGATCGCCCCTCAATGTAAACACTTTTATACCATGAACAGTGTATATTAAGTTTGCCCAGAAGGAAAAGTCGGAGACCCTATAAAATGTATACATGAATGATCAGCATAATGAGCTGAGTTGATTTAGCCATGTCCGCCTGTCTGTATATACGCGAACTAGTCTCTCAGCCTTTGAGACATCAAACTAAAATTTTGCACCTGTCCTTTCCTCACTAAGAAGCTGCTCATTTGTTGGAATGGCCGATATCGGACCACTATAGCATATAGCTGCCATACAAACTGAAGGATCGGAATCAAGTGCTTGCATGGAAAACTTTTTCATTTGAACTTTTTCATATCTTCACGAAATTTGAAACGGATCATTGTCTAAGGCAATAATAGAATCTCTGAAGAAACTTTTCTGATCGGATCAGTATAGCATATAGCTGACATACAAACTGAATTATCGGAATCAAGTTCTTCTAAGGAACTTTTTGTATTTGTGAAGGGTATTATAGCTTCGGTGCAACTGAAGTTAACGTTTTTTCTTGTTTTAGGTGATTTCATATACTCGTATATAAAAATTAGTTTCCTATGAAGAATACACAATAATATTTATTTAATTCTATTAAATTTCATAATGTGCATAGAACTATTTTATTCAATGTGCGGCTTCAAAATTTTTTCATTCTTCACAGGGTCAGTTAAATTTTTAAAAGAGGAAATTGCTTTTTCCTCTTCGTTTAGTTTTTTGAGGAGGAAATACATTTCTGCAACACCAATAACAAGTGCGCAAAATATTCCTAATACTAAACGAAGACCAAACTCTAAGCCACCGAAAATAAGTTCCAGTCCTAAAAATCCGAATACAAAACCAGCGGCAACCGAAAATATAAATTGTAATACTGCGATCATTTGACTATTCATGGCCTTAACTGAAAAAAAATAAAAATATGTATAAAATTAATAACATATGTTAATGTATACCGCGGATCAACATACCTTGATAAGCTATGGTGTCCTCGGGTACATATTTCAAAGTTGAGTCTACGTTTTTTGTCATGTCTAGGTACTCCTTATTTTGTTGTTGCTCGCGTAATCGCTGACAGCGCGCTTCGAGCTCTGGATTTCTTTTTATGACTTCATTCATTGGTAAATATAAGCGGCAATTTTCTATTAGGTCATATAAAAAAATATCTAATCCTTTCTTTTCACGCAGTTGCGTTAACCACAATTTGAGCCAACGAAGATCTGATAAATATAAGAAATTTTCTGTCGCATTTAATTCAGTTTCTTTATCTTCACAATTATGATTTGCTTTTGGGGAATCGGTTTTTGACACATTTTTGTCTAAGAGTTCTTCAACGCTTCGGAGCAGTTTTAAATCAATATGTTCTTTTTTTATCGAATCTGAGTCAAGCAAATCAATACCATTTTCAATATGAAAACCATTTGTTTTTAAAACTTTTGTTACATTTTCTGGAATTTCCGTTATGGTATCTTTATGCTGCTCAATTAATTGCAACAGTTTCAGTGTCGGTCGTACTCGAACGCGGGTATCAGCAATGCTTATCTTTGTCATTTTTAAGCTTTTAGTACGCGGAATAACTTTACTTCGGAATGTTCAACTTTACTTGTAAATCTGAATAAAGTTCATCAATTTCCTCCTCTTTTTCTTCAAAAGAGTTCTTGACTCGCTCGTACTTATGTTCCAAATCAATGAGAAAATTCGCTCTTTTCTGTTCACGATCTTTACGAGACTGGATAAGATATTCGTTGGGCTAGGAAAATTTTAAATGATAATCATTAAATATTTTTAGATTTTTGTCAGAATATATGCGGTTCCAACCTGCCTCTGCAACTCCACTTTGGTGAGAAAGTCTTCGACACCAAATAATAAATTATTTACTTCTCGATTTAGTTCTTCTAAACGTGATGTACTCAGAACTATGCACCGTTCGTATAGGTCGTATTTTACGTCGCCTATAACTTCAGTGACTTTGAAGAGCGTTTCCACTTCGACTTCGTTACGTTTCAACTCAAATTCATTCAGAAAACTGTTTATTTCTCCATTTACAAAGGCCCGATGATCCAAAATTCGTTGTTCGGCAGTGGATAAATCTATATCAAAAGCCAATTCTAGATTACATTACAAAAATTAAATATTATTAACCAACCTCGTCCCAACTGGCTTAACATTTTCTTTGTCACATGAGATTAGTAAACCTTAACGACAGTGTTGTACTTCCATTGTACATAGGGGTATTCACAAAGTCATAATAATATTGTAAATAAATGTTTTATCGGCTTTATACCGATTTTTTTTTAATTATAAAAATTTGCTCCTAAATATTCCAAGCAAATTTTGGTTTTTTACTATTTACTAAAATAACAATTTCCTGCATGTGCTGTAACTATGCATATTATTTAAAAAAAATAAAAATAAAAACTGGAATAAGAGTTTATTTGACTGCAGGAAAAATATGGCATTACGGGATATCTTGTGTTTTGAGAATCGAATTTTAATATTCTATTGTTTTTGAGTTTATGGCAACGTTGCTCAAAGTCACGTACTCACTCGAATATTAACCAACAGATGTCAATTTTTCTCTGGCAGTAACAAACAGCGGTAGTAAAGCAATAAATTATAAGAATTTTTCTACTGCATAAATGTGGAATTGGAGTATTTGTGCAGATATTAATGTAAAAATATAAAAAAAGTAAAATTAACGTCATTAAAATGAATGAAGAATTCAAACTGCCAAAACGTTCTCGAAAACGGCTACGCGAGGTAAAGCGTAGGGCTCGTCCGGAGTTGGGGGACAAAGAGGCATGGTCAGCCTTGCGATATTACGAGAGGTTTCAAGATTTTCAAAAATTTGAGGATAATGTTGAACGTATTAAAGAGTCTGACGTTAGTTGTGATGAATTTATAGAGCGTTACGAAAAACCCTATTTTCCAGTAGTTATAGAGGGTTGTCAAGAAGGCTGGCAAGCAGAAGAAAAATGGACAGTATCACGTCTTGCAAAGAAATATCGAAATCAAAAATTCAAATGTGGAGAAGACAACGAAGGTTACAGCGTTAAAATGAAAATGAAATATTATGTTGAATATATGCGGTCTACTCTCGATGATAGTCCTTTATATATATTTGATAGTAGCTTCGGTGAACATCATCGTCGTCGTAAATTACTTGAAGACTATACCGTGCCGAAGTATTTTCGCGATGATTTATTTAAATATTGTGGAGAAGAACGTCGTCCCCCATACCGCTGGTTTGTAATGGGTCCTGAACGTTCTGGTACTGGCATACATATAGATCCATTGGGTACAAGCGCTTGGAACGCACTTCTTAGAGGTCATAAACGTTGGTGCTTATTTCCAACCCAAACTCCTAAGGAACTGTTAAAAGTACCTAGTGCTGTGGGAGGAAAACAACGTGATGAAGCAATAACTTGGTTTAATACGATTTACCCACGAACTAAACAACCAGACTGGCCAGCGGATTTTCGACCTCTTGAAATTTTACAAAAACCGGGTGAAACTGTTTTTGTGCCAGGAGGTTGGTGGCATGTAGTGCTGAATTTAGATGAAACTATCGCCATCACTCAAAACTTTTGCAGTCGTACAAATTTCCCGGTTGTCTGGCACAAAAGTATTCGAGGTCGTCCAAAATTATCGCGAAAGTGGCTACGTGTTCTACATGAAAAAGAACCTGATTTAGCAAAGCTTGCTGAAAGTATTAACGTAGAACAAAGTACCGGCTTTGCTTCTGATAGTTCTAGTAACTCAAGTTCTTCGTCTAGTTCCTCATCATCATCATCAGAAAACGAAGGTAATGACAGCGATAGTGGCAGCTCCAATACTGACAGTGGGCAAGAAAGTCTAACCGCTAAGAAAAAGAAAAAGAGGCGGTTGGGAGGTGGTATGGCGTCCAGCTCTTGATGTCGGCTGCGTTTTAGTGAAGAAAATATAATGATAAGTGCAGAAATGAAATATACTACTTATGATGGTGTTCAGCGATCTGGAGAAGGCAAGTTTAAATTAGGAGATAATAAAAGCTTGACAAGAATGCTCCGAATGCGTTTGAAAACTCTACTGCACTGCAAAAGTTAACATTTATATCTCAACGCACTGCATGCCAACATTAATTCAATTCATTAAGTAGAAAGAGCCTACACTTCGGTTTAGCTAAATATATTCATGTAAGAATTCCAAACAATATTTAACGCGGATCGGATTCATTTTAAGCAACTGTACACATTTTAATTTGTTTAGTAACAATAAGTAGTAACAGTATAATATATAGCGTTTCCAGTTGGAACTTGAAAACAATATTGAAATATTACTTCAAATAAATGATTTTAAAAATTATAAAAAGTATTATTCATTTTTTATCGTTGCTACACTATTTCTCTTAAAGTAGGAGTGTCGAGATATCCCGATGGAATCCATGTTTGTTAAGCACTATAAAATGTCTCCACTTATTTGTGGATTGTACATACATATGCTGCTACGAAACCAAAATTTATTTGTGGATGCTGTCTTGATTCTAATAAATGAATTATGCAATCTACGAGATAACGTGATTTATATAAATTTGATATAAAAGTATGCATTATTGTAACAACAAAATCTTAATATTTTTTTAGTGCTATCAAAAAAATATGTAAAATTATATATTATTCACCCCTTCCAATAAGAACAACAAATCATATACATACATTTTATAAAATTGTTTATTTTGAAATTCTAAACAAATATTAGACAAATTGCAGCTAACTTAGAGCGAAAGGTTGGAAATGATATTGAAATGTTTGAATATCCGTTTGTGTTACCCTTTAAAATTAAAATATACATACTACCCACAATGCATATAGGATGTGTTTTTGTTTTGTGTTTCATTACTTTTACTTAATGATTCAGACTGCGCTTATTTTTAATTTTACCGTTGCCCTCGCATTATTTTGCATTTTGTTCTTGCCTCCACATATGGTTTATACTCTGATTTTGTTTGGGTTATAATTATTTTTGTATTAATTTCACTATTTGAAGTATTTATATGAAATCATTGTGGCACTTCTAATTCGCATTATTATGCCATGAAAGATTCTCCGATTTTATTGACTTATTTGTTGGCGTGTTTGTATGTATTAAGATGCCAAAAAAAGAAAGCTTGTATCTCACTGATTTTGAATTGAAAATGAAAAAACAGCTTTTAATCAATATACTGCGCTAGCCAACGGAAACCTTCGCCATAACCCTGTCGCTTCAGTACAGAAGACATGAATAACTCCAGTGGGCGTCCTGGAAGCTCCGAACGTTGCACTTTACCCTAAAACGTATCAGATTACAATTAAATATGTATGTATGTATATCGGTTAAGTACCTTGCCGGTTGTCAACTGATAGAGACCGAAAACATTTCTAAGTTCGTCTTCGCTTGCGGCACCTGGTTTATCGATTTTGTTACCCAAAATTAACACGGGACAGTTTGACAGCGCTTCATCTGTTAACAATGAGTCTAATTCAATTTTGCTCTCTTGGAAGCGACCTCGGTCCCAAGCATCTATCAAAAAAACGATTGCATCCACAGCTGGGAAATAGTCCTTCCAAACGCGACGCGCTATTTTAATTAATACAAGAGCAAAAATTAATCATTATTCTTTCATATATGTATATTTGTATACATTATTAATTACTTTTACAGTACCACACTAAGCAATAGTTTTACTTTAACGTTTTCTACAAAGTAATATGTTGTAAATAATTTGTATTTTTTTAAATTTATATGGACAGGAATTTATACATATTTAGAGACCAGCGTATTTTCATTTTGTCAGCAATAGTACAACTATTTACAAGCTGTTATCAATTTCTATCCCTTTAACGCTATACTAAGCAATTATTTTAGTGCTTGCAATCTTACAAATATGCAAGATCATTGTCAAGTCTGACGCTAAGATATATGTACTAAGTGTTACGTTTTTATTATTATCTTAGATATGTCAACACAGACATAGGTCTATATGTCCGCCTGAGTGCAGATAATTCGCAAAAAACTATATATATATATATATATTTTTGCAAAGCTAATAATAATTTGAAAATCTATATACATATGTATATAATATAGCATATCCAATTTTTTATGGTATCATATGTAACCTTTATTTTGTCCGAAAAATTCATTTTAAAATCTAAAAATGTGTATTATATGTTGCATAATAAAGAGGTACGTATATATACTACGGACAGTTTTGTGCATAATAACAGCAGAACAGAAAATGTGATAACACATCAAAGCATTGGCGGTCTTAATTTGAAACTTTCGAATATCCTGCGTCTATTATATTATGATAAGCATCGTAAGTACGCAGTTCAAATAATACGATTTGGAGATGGACCATCGAATTACATATTTCGTAAAAATTTTGTTTTTTAATTCTATTTTTTGCATATAAAATGGCATACCTTAACACATATTTAATTTCAATTTGAACATTATTTTTACCTTGAGTGTGTCCGCCCAAATCGAATGTCGTAAAGCGCATGTTGCCAATTGACAATTCTTCTGACGCTAAATAATTAAGCAGATATTGAAACTCCGTTTTTAGCAAATTTTACAATTAACTTACTGGGATGAAGTGTTGGTACATGCTGTGCCAGTTTATCGTCTTTGAGCATATGCAACAATGTCGTTTTGCCGGCATTATCCAGACCAAGGAACAATAGCTTGCCGGATTTCTTCCACAGACCTGGTGATAAACAAAAAGAAATACAATTTGTGATACGATAATCAAATATACAGGTATACCATACATAATAAAGATAAAATCTTAAAAGATATTAAAAAAAAAAAATCTTGGCAGTTCCAAAAAATTTGTTAAGAGATATATGGTATGCACGAAAAAGAGTGCATTATTGTTATATTAATATGATTGCCTTGCATATTTATTATTTACATACATATATTGTTTTTGTATAATATGAATTCCGATCATAAGGCACATTTGTGATTGCCAATTCAAAACGGCGCACTTATTTTTTAATTTATGTGTTATATAAATACGTATTCATATACTATAAAATCGCAAAGTTCAAAAATAATACCTGAAGTTCTTATACATATTTTTTAATGTTAAATATTTACCCAAGTATCCTAAAACACCAGTGAACCAATCCCAAATGAACATGTTGCTATTTATTGGTGTGTAGTTGTCTGTAAATAGAAAAAAATCATGTACTTATATTTCAATAGCTACAATACAAACATAAAAAAAATAATACCTACATATTATTATATTAACAATATTTTGTACCCTTGTAAAATATTAAAAGAAACAGATACATACGGAACCATTACACCTTATTTAGCACAATAAGCGGCCTTGACATGAAACAAATTTTTCGAATATTTTAGTTCAGAAAATTATCTCTAATTGTACTACTAGTAGTACGATCAGAAGTAAATGGAATAACAGCAACTTTCAAACAATGGGACAAGGTCGCATACATAGCACCGATTTTAGATTTCTGTGTATGTGGAACTTTCTTCACATTAACAATGATTTTTGTTCGCCAGGAAGTTGTGATAGTAACCCTTGTCCCCATGCCTTGACCAAGTGAATCGGAATTTTAATTACGTATTGTCGAAAATACATTTTAGCAAGTAGTGCTTTTTATATGCATTACAATGGAAGTAGTTTAACTAGGTGCGACCAATGATGGAGATACAGATCATATCACACAAACTCTAATAAGATAACTCGTGCTAACAATTACACTTCACTTTTGCTTTACACCACACCTAATAGCGTTTGTATTATTACGAATATTTACCTTATAAATATTTTACAATTAAAAAATTTCAAGCAAATATTGAAACTTTTAATTTATTCTCGCCTTTCCGTGTTTTAGCGATTTCTTTTACACTAAAAAAGAAAGACGAAGGCGATGACAACGGCGACAATAGTGGACAAAAGAATAGCGACAGCGACACGACAGCAAAGGAAAATTCAATTCAAAACTTTTTCCTCGTGTGCGTTTTGAACTTGCTTTGCCTCCTGAAATTCAGAGAATGTCAAATCAAATTGTTGAAATTTTCTTTTCGTCTTTCCTTCACTTTTATGCCAACTATAGTGTTGTTTCGCTTTTTCCTTTGCAGCTCTAACGCAAACAAAAATGTCATTTTTTGTCTATTTTATGTTAGTTAATCGTTTGTATTTCCTCTTGCATGAAAGTTAATGATAGTTGCGGTGTTCATGATCAAAATAACCATATTATTACATAAAAACTTGATAATAATACTAATGTGGATACGATACTTGATGTGTTTAGTATGACCTGTCATGGTAAAATTAAAAAATTTAAAGTTGACTTTAAACAAAATCAGCACCACTAAACACTTCTGTTTAGTTTTGTATTTAAAAGTTGATCAGCATCAAAGCATCATATATAAATTCAAAGCGCCACCTATTGTGCAATAGCCAAATTTTAATTTCATATTATTTTACCTCTATTGCAAAGTGTTTTTGATGTTCCAAGGTATTATATAGCAAAGATTTATCAATTTATGTTTCAACGATCTCGATACAATTGTTTCTATTTTTAAATGCAACATAAGAACGGTGTGTATAAATTTCAGTCGGATAGACCAAAAATTGACGAAGTTATGCGTATTTTTATACCTGTCTTTTGAACGTTTTACGTTTCAAAACCTTAAAGCGTTTTCCCTACAACTCACATTTTTTTCCTTCAAATTGTTCCCAAAAAATGAAAAAGTTATAGTTCAAAAAAAAAAAAAAAAATCACCCAACGTTACCTGGGTGGGGATTATCTTACGATATAAATACCCCCTTTAAGATTCGAGGCCTGGTGAAGGGTATGGGCCTTGGGAAAGGGTTTGATCATAACCAAATAAGAATCTAATAGAGTAGGGTTTTGGTTTTTATTAATAACACTAAAAAAATATATTCTTTAGGCTATTGTGCACTATGCATTCGCATTCTATGCTTATATATAATTGTATAAAGAAGAAAGATATCTCGATATGTCATGTATACATATACAGCTCAATATAAAAATGCATATTAAACATTGAAGCGGGCCATAGCCTGTAGAACGATTTCTTCAATCTGAAATTTTAATAAGGTAAAAAAAAAAAATTATTGATGAATATAATTGTATTTGTATAGCATTTTATTGTATTTTACCTGCACATAATCGGGCGTTTCTAATGCATATATAACCGCTTGGGCTACATCCTTGGCCTGCAGTTTTGGCAAATCGGCAACAGCTCGAGAATAAACGTTCAACAAATCCGTATCTACCATACCTGGACTAATGCTCTATATATACGAAAAAGCTTTATGTATTTTGTAGCTTTTCTATACTATGATACTATGATTTACTTACCGTTAATTTAATATTTAACTTGAGAAAATTAATCTCCTGACGGACGGTTTGGCATAGTGCTGTTAGAGCATGTTTCGTCGCAGGGTAAACGCTAAATAATGGCACTGGCACTTCCGGTATGCGATGTCCGAGGATGCTAAGTCAATGCGTATGAAACAAAAACAATAAAAAACTGTATAATTTTTATTCTGTGGCAATACTTTAAAGTCTGTAGCTGAGGTCGACTTAAGCCTTAAGTGACAATTTGAATTATGCTAAAAAACTTATGCGCGGTATGACGTGATTTAAGGTTCAGATATGTACATGAATATATTATATAGTTCTCGGCGATCTGAACTCCAGAAATTCAGTTCTTACCTATTCATTATAATAATGTGGCCCTTCGCTTGACTTGCACGCATTAGCTTCACTCCTTCTCGTAGGCAAATGGATGTGGCCACTACATTAAGATCGAATAAATCCCTGATATCCTTTCCAGTGGATTCTTTTAGGAGAACATAATTAGACGCCTGCATTGATAGTCTCTACTACTTAATACCTGATATGAAATTCGCCTTCAACATTCCTGCATTGCATACGAGTATTGAAATTGGTGGAAAACTCTCATGTACATATTTGAAAGCGGTTGTAATGCATTCTTCATTGCTCAGATCACAGTGGCGACCATGAATTTTTCCGAGGCCTGTCACTTGTTTATTCAAATCCTGGAATAGAGGAAACCCTTGTTATTCTGTGGAGTTAGGTTTATGTCGTTCGTTAATGATAAAATTGTTCGATTCTCCTTTTTTGATTTTATTTAGTTTTACTCATAAATATGCATTTTACTCAATTCCTCGTATGTGTACCTCGATCAATTCGGACCGTCGCGCCAATCCCACAACGGTTATTCCTTTGTTAGCTAAAAGGACTGCAATTTGTGCGCCAATACCAGCAGATGCGCCCGTCACAAGTGCCACTTGCTGCACACACTCGGCTGCAACTGACATTTCAAGTAGTGTAAAAATAATCAGGCAATCAGGAAGGCTTTTGCGATGTTCCTTAGCTTTAGCTTTTATTCAATTGTCAACAGACAAGTGACGCTGTCGTTCGCTTTCAACCTCGAACACTGACTGAATGCTTTGACGTACTAATTTAAGCTTCAGCCTAAGTAGCCGGCTTAGCAATGGATCTACACATACAAAAATCATAACCCACAAGTGGTGTATAGTGACAAATTACCTTATTATGGCGGCGGAGAAGTGGAGAATGATTCAAATGATCTCGATATTCAATACTGTACTTTCGTAATAATAAATATATGGCTCTATAAAGTATATGTAGAATAAATCAGTAAGCTGTGCTGAGTCGATTTAGCGATGTTTGTCTAACGGACTGCCTGTTTCTATATGCGCAAACTAGTCCCTCAGTTTTTAAAATATCGATTTGAAATTTCGCGCACGATCTTTTGTCACCAAGAAGCAGCTAATTTTTCGGTACTGCTAATATTGGACCACTATAGTGTTTAGCTCCCATATAAACCAATCGATCAAAATCAAGTACTTGCACAGAAAACTTTTTTATTTAATATCTTCACGAAACTATAGCATACTGTTCCCATTCAAACTGACCGATCAAAATCAATATAAAGATCTTCATTAAAGATCTGTTTCCTTATTAAGTAACCATAATTCGATTTGAAGATTAGAAAGTAATTAGTAAAACGTTTTCCGTTGGATGCAAACCGTAGATCGGTTACGTTATCAGATTTAGCTATACATAAATATAGTAATATAGTTATAAGAAACGCACCTGTTTTTATATGCTTCGAATTGCTTGTAGATTGGCACATTTTTGACTTCAGTCCCACGACTGACAGATCGTAAAATATTGGCCCGCAAAACAATGACCGTTACTTGTATAGTAAAAAGCAGACTAACTAATAGGGCTTCCAATTCAGAGTAGTCGTGCGATGTTTTACAACCAGTTAGTTCATTTCTCTGCCGGGCTCGATTACATGAGATGAATATAACAAAAACTTATGGAGAATATGTGTTGAGTTGTATTCAAGTAGATGAAGCGCACTATTGCAAGCTACAGTTGCTTAAATTCCATAACAGTATATTTGTAGATATGTTAATATTTAAATAATCTTAAAGCCCCCATTAAAAGTGCATTCAAGTTACGGTTTGGATTTGATTTTTTCTTCCCTTTTCTCTTTTATATAATTAATATTCTTGTACTGATATAATTCGCACTAATCACTTTTAATTGACTAAACATCTTGGTTCATGCCTTTTTTCAATATCTATCTCTGTCAATTGATGTACTTGCATATGTACATATATTTCAATTAATATGCAAGTCAATCTGTTCTATAGGCGCTAATGCATGCATGCGAATTTCCTCTTTGTCAGCTGATTGTTTTATTTTCAGTTGTTTGCCGGCGCATTCATTGTCCCAATGGGTCCAACCCCGCTTTCGGTTGGCAATTTTATTATGTCACTTTGGATGCAACATATTGGTATGTATCTAACCCTGCTATTTGACTCAGACAACATTATTTTAGTTGCTGTAGCTATTTCCGATCTCACTTACACTGTTGCGTGAAGAGTAATCACTTACATCACTGACCGCATTTTGTGTTATTGTTGTGTTATTGCTGTGTTTTGTAATTATTATTGATCATATTTCAAGCTATGGTAAAATAGTAATACTCAACGGATACTGCTAACCAACGTAGCATAAGTATTAGAGATTAAATTCTGTGTTTCAGAGCCTTACCACTCTTCTTATTGTCTTGTCTACTAAATCAAATTTCTCTAGATAGAGAACCAAAATTGAACTCGAGAAGAATTACTGAGAAACGAATTGAAAGACTATTCACATGTAGCTACTACATATGCAAGAGAAATATCAGTAAAACGCAGTACTAGTGTTGCAACTATATATTTTCATATTTCCGGAAAATCGCAGACCGTTCATTACCATAGCATACTCATTCGCATTAACGCAGTTTAAGCCTTTATGTGCTAAAGGTGACTGACCAGGGAAAAGCCATTTTTTAAGTATTATTTGATATAACAAAAAAAAAAATCGATTTTTAGAAAAACCTAGAACGATCTTTGCTCTGTAATATTTAGTGAAACTGTAACATTATATACACCACTTAATGATCATTCAAGTTATAAAATAATTTAAAATGTTATTCTGATAATAATTTCAATTTGTTATATCACAGTGTAGTCTGAGTTCTTTTAATGATAGCTCCACTCTCTTACATTCTACACTTTGCTGTTACATATGGTATCTCTCTTGTGTGGTACAAATTGTTCAACTTCCCATATATTGAGTTGTTCGCATTAAGTAAGCTAATTTTTGTATTTGATAATATTATATAAATTACTTAATTTCAATTATTCTATTTTCACAGATATCGTATAGCTTTTGTGGTTATTTTTGTATGGCTTCTAACTATAACTTGAATTTGTGTGCGAAACGGTACATATCCACATACTGGTTGGTTGAAAAGTTTTAGCGTTGGAAATAAAAAAATACTGTTTTTGGTACGAAATATAGTTTTTAATTCAATTTAATTTGCCTTAACTTCAATACACTTATTCTAATGATTCTCCAATAATTTTATGCCATCCCTAATTACTTTCCGGAAGCTCTGCAAAATACCAGTCTACGTAATAGCTTCTTCATTCGAAGAAAAACGCTTGCCACGAAGGAATTATTTTAGGTTTCTGAAGAGGTAGTAGTCGCTAGAAACCAAATCTGTTGAATACTGTGGATGCTCAAGCAATTCGTACATTAATTCGTTGAATTTTGTCATTGTTAAAACACCTTTGTGAGCAGGTGCATTGTCTCGATGAAAAATTTTTTTTTTGTGCTTCAAAACAGGTAAAGACCGAATTTTTTCATCCAGCTGTTTCAAAAGGCTGCTATCAACTCTGAAGATTGTTTTACCTTTCTGCATATAATTAATCAACAAAATTCCGTTTGCATCCCAAAAAACTGATGCCATAACCTTCTTTGCTGATCGTTGGGACTTCACCTGCTTTGGAGCTGAACAACCAGCTTCAGTCCACTGTAAACGTTCTTGTTTCAATTAAGGATCCTGGTGGTAGATCCGAGTCTCATCCATAGTTATAAAACGACGCAAAAACTCGAGTTATTCTGCTTAAAACGCTCCCAATTATGCTGGGAAATTTGTTTTCGATCCAGTTTTTGTTGAATCGTTAACGTGTGCGGCACTAACTTTGCATAACTCTCAATGTAAAATATGAAGTATTCGTTCGTCTGAGATGCCTATGGCATTAGAAATTTCATACTTAGTCAAACTTGGATATTTACTAACAATATTATGAACTTGATCAGTAATAGTAGGGCTATTTCATGGTGAGACCAACCAACCTGTGCATATGTAAGCCTTTAAGAAATTTTCCCAAAATATTACTTAAATATATTACTTCCGCCGGTCAGTCGAGCTTATTTTGAAGTTCTATTATTAAAGGATTGTAGAATATAATAATATGGTAATGTAGGAGGGATGCGAGTTACAAAGTACACGCTTTATTCTCTTTTTAAAGCATAGCTGCAACTGCAGGCTGTCGCCTTACAAAAACGCATTTACGGTATTTCTAATTTTAGTGGCTTATTTGTAGAATATGCAATCATCCTAACCATCTCACATACATAATGTAAAGTAAAGGCAAGTAACATCTATAATTTGCTTTCTACAAAGTTTTTAACTGCGAAAGAATCGGCGAACGAAAATGATAAAAGAATGCTTTCGCAAAGTAAATTCAGTTTCAATCTACGAGTACATTCGATGCTACACACAGCACGTTTGCATTTCGTTAATTTGTATTTCAAAGGACGCGGCACGCGACTTGCACACGAAATTGACGTCACGGTCGACCGACTAAAAACCATTTAAAGTTTTCGGTATAAATGCAATGCAAAGTGATACTATTTGGTTGGTGACTCTTTCCAAGTTGAATCCCACTGACAAACACAGAAGGACACAGAGAGGGTTGGAGAACGAAGTTTTGCTTCAGAAAACATAAAGAATTGTCAAGTCGAAAATAACATATTCTGTGCCAAAATATTTACAGTAAGTATTATAGAATTACTGCAGGGAAATTGGAAATTACGGATATAACTATAACATTACTGGAGAGAAATTTTGGAAAGATGATGTGAAAAGGCGGAGGGGAACACTCAATTTGATTTTTTCTTTAAACAGACATATTAACGGATCTTTTAACTGTTCTTTAACCCGAAGATGTCTTTGTGTGATGATGCTGGAGTCAAATTATTATGGGAAACTTAACTTTATTAGACCTATTAGGTTCATATTCGAAAATTACATTGACAAGAGTAAGATAACTATATTTGAAGAGAAGGATGGCGATCAAAATCGAGGCCTTGAATGGAAAACTTGTTTTTGACAAAACATCTTCGAAGAATTGGACATATATTACTGTCCAAGGCAACGCTACAATCTGCTGCTATTTAAACTGAACGATCTAAATAAAGATAAATATTATTTTATTTCTTTTTGTGCCATAGCTTCGTTGCAGCCGAAGTTTACGTTTTTTTCTTGGTTTTATTTACAATTTTTGTCCGGAATTCAAGGTCGATCTGGCATTGATTTCAAAGGCAATTTTATTGGTTTGTTTTTGGTTTTAGTTTAATGCTGACTTGTGTGATTAAATTGAGGTGTGTGGCAGTCGTTTATATCCGTTTATATTGTTGTTCGACAGACGGCTTAGTAAATTCTTGCGACCAATTGCTTTGGCTAAGTGTCGGTATTGTGGGTACTAATACAAGGCAACGACAAAAATTACCAGCATCTTGCCGTATTACGACCAAAAGCCAGTTACAATACCAACAATGGATTTCCTTGGATAAATCTGACAATGCTTGTTTAACACCGAAATGAAGAATAACACAAGGAAACGGCATTTGCTACCCAGTATGAACACATTCGCCCAAAGTACAAGTGGTATAAGCAGATATATACAATATAGTATGTATGTAAGCAAAGGATAAGAGCTATTGAGCTATTCTCTCAACGAAATACCACAATTGCTGACAAAACTACTGAATTGACATACCTAAATATTTGGGTAGATATGGCCGATATTTATTGAAAATTTCACAATATCGATGTTTGATTGGAATTGATGTTTATTCATCGAACGATAGTGCTGATATAAGACAACAACGCGTGAAATTAATATATCAAGTTTTGTAGAACTTTTCCAATAGATTGTCTAGATATTCATTATTCGATAAAAAATGGGACAGATTTCATAGAGCTTTTACAATACTTAACCGACTAAAGTCTGTAAGCTCTCATCCTATTTCAATACCTAATGTTCGATATTGAAAACGCACAAGTATCGATAATTTACTCACATTGTCAAACCAAATTAAATATACAGAATTAAATAATAAATACATTGCAATGCTTAGAGGATTTTATATACATACATACACGATAATATTACAAATAAACCATAGAATGCTGTAATCAGCTGCGGCAACAAAGGAATAAATTGATCCTGTAGAAGCATTTTGGTTACGGGTCGATGTCTGCAAACGTTTTGTTGTCTGACACTTGTCTTCCGCAGTTGGCTTGTATATTTAACGGCGTCTTCCTTTTGTAATATTTCTGTTGTGATTGAAAGTGAGAAAATACAGAGCTGAAAATGTCTCGGCAGAAAAGTCAAAGCGATTGAAAATGTCGTGCAACATCAACAACAATAATGCCAATAAATTTCCTATCAAAACGTGTAAAAATAATCTCACAATAACATCAGTGACCCATCAGAACAAATGTCAGCAACACGCCTTCGAACGGCTCATTGTGCAGAGATGCTTACAGTCGGCGCTTAGGAAAGAAGAAATCTATACGCTAAACAGGATTTATTTTGTAGCGAGAGGTGACGTATTTGAACGAATACCGTTGTGTGTTGACAGACAGACGATTTGCATTTCATTTGTATTTGGGTGTCATGGTGCGTTTTCGATATATATTAAGAGGGTAAATTCATATTTGTCTTAATCTAAAAAAACATTCAGAAATAAATATAGAAGAAGAAAAAGTATCAAATGGACAAGGTTATGGATATTTCAACAAAGTTAGTTATGTAACATTTTGGTTTTTGAATTGCTAATTTTGCTGTAATTTACTTAACTTATTTGATGAAAGATGAAGCTTCAGGTTTCATGAATTTAAACTGCTATCATAAAGGTCGCGACATTTTTCTACCAGTTTGTGTTACGCATCAGTTCTTTGTGACAGTTACCAAGGAAATCCACGTCAGAATTCACCTGCTCTATACCATACACTAGTGCTATGCGTTACCCAAAACACGCTTACTCTATCTTAAAATGTACTTAAAATTCTAGAGTGCTATATTAAAAGCAAGAATTTATAGTTAGATTAAAATTGATAGTAGGGATGCAAATTATAAATAGCATTGTATCCGGTAATCAGAAGACAGAAGTCAAAAAGTTTCAGATTTCTAAACATTTTTCAGTAAATGGTATTTTGAGCATTCAGCATCGGTTTAACTTTTGACGTATTCGACTCGACTTTTGCCTATTGCATAGTCAGTTAGTTTGAATAAGTACGACTAATATACCAACTTTCTTTATAGAATAAACTGACAAAGCAATACAATTCAGGAAAAAAAAAATTATTGCTGACATGTCTAATGGCGTTCGAAAATGGAAATGCAGACACAAGCTGACAAGATCTGCCACAATCTCTTAAAAAATCAAACAAATAAACACAAGTTTTAAAGTTAACCCAGGTAACGAACGCTGATGTCGGTCTAACATTTCATTAAAGTGCTTGTATATTTAGAACAAGTATTATAAGTATGCTTGTTGTTTCGAAAAAACTGCACTCACGTCTAAGTTTATTGAGTATATGAAGGCATCATGTTTCGTTTTGATCACAAAATGATGACCGCGATTGATCCACAGGCACTATGCTTTCATATTTGGTATCTGGAGTCTTGAAAAGCTTTCGATAATTTTTAGATGAAATGTGACACATATTAGAGACAGTGTTTGTGCTAATATCTTTTTTGATGTTCATCACTTATGAAGGCAAACTTGACATAATTAGAAAAAAAGTATGCATATGGGAAGCGAACACCAGTTTACCTCGCTTGAACCTTACCTTAACTCTAGCTTGATATAACGTGTTCAATGAACTTCCCATGATCAGTTATCTTTCCTGAGGTCAACAATACTTAGCGAGGTCAGTCACATTTAGCAAGGTCAATGATCTTTTTCGAGTTCAACAGCGTTCGCAAAAGAGATATATGCCAATAAAGCACAATTAAAAATTACCTTCATTACGCAATTACCAATTAAATTCATTGAGAGATCTAAATGCCATCTATTATAAATTTACCCTTTGCTCTATAACAGGAATGTACATATATTTAAAACTAAAAATCTACTCTAATTATTTTCATGTTCAGATACACTTATGTAATGTTGTTAACAAATATATTTGTAAACAAACATATGTTAAAGGTATTCAAACTAAACTCGTTAAAAACGAAATTCGGTATCTAATATTTTTCATTTACCGAATAGAATACATTTTAGCGTTAACGGTAATGTTGTTAAATTAGCGAATAATGCATCAGCTGACTAATGTCTTAGAATTTGCGCCGGTGGACTTTCTAGAATACTTCTTTTGTTCGTATAGATTTAAAAAGTAAACAAGTCGTAGTTGTTAAAAACAATTTTAATTAATGAGAATATTATAGAGTGCTTTACCTACTCTTAAGAAGCGCATTATTGCTCTCACTTGTTAAAATAATATTAATGCATGTGCTTTCAGTTACTTATAAATATGGATATATATATCTATATTATATGGTATAAATATGGATGTATTTGTATGGTACGCATAAATATCATATTTATTTTTATTATGATGCCGAAGCATAAGGGTAGCAAAACTTGGAACGATTGGCGGATTTTCCTCTCGTGCATTTGCACTTTGTATTGAACTCGCATTTGCCATTTCGTTTCTAACTCGGCTGTGTTTCCTAATTTTGTTGGTCGCTTTGACGAATTTTCAGCAAACGAAATTTGTATAATAATAGCATCGCAAATTATTTATTTGTGATAGCAGCAAAAATGCTAAGTACTTGAGAGCTTATTTTACGATGTTAGTTTATTTTCGCACGAAAGTTATAAGTATTTATTATATAATATGTGCATTAAACTGTCCGTTATATACCAAGTTGTTTATTTTTTTTTCAAATGCCTCTAAGTTTCAGTTTCTACACTAAAAATAAGAATCCAACGTAAACAAGCTCTTTATTTTCAATTCTAACTGTGCCTAAATTATATTACTTCTCCCATATAAATATGTATATAACTTAAGATCTTACTTTACATTAGGCAAGTAAATCCACAACATTAAAAAAGTGATATTCTACGATATGAATGTTCAGTACATTGAATGCATAACTTTAGCTGCGTATAACTTTTAAAGGAATTTTTTAACGAGAAAATAATTAAGACTTTTTTGTAGAGGCGAAAATTCTGTATTAGTATACAATTTTTTCAAAGCTGTAGTTTATTTGTTTTGGAGGTAAAAAAAATTATTACAAGAATTCTAATCTCGTATTAAATAACACGGACATAATAAATATTATATAACTATATGAAATAAACAAATCAAGTTGGAAAATAACGGACACCCGAATGTAACTACATACATGTACACTGTTAAAATAGTTGTTGAAAAATGTAATGTTATGTTAAAGGCTTGGGTATACCTAGCAGCCGGGTCAAATACATTTGGTAATCTTTAATTAATAATATGTTATGGTTTATTTTTAATTAGGGTGGAGCGAAAAATTTGTTTTTTTTTTTGGTTAGCCTGAGGGTAAAATTTGTAGATTATAAGAAGAGAAAATGTTAAAAAAAAATGTTCTTTTAACATCTAGAGGCGGGCCACTCACTTTTAAAGCAAATTTCGAGTTAAAATTTTTCTGGTTTAAACTCTTCACATTTATATAAAAACTACCGAATTTGACGGTTTTTGACTCAAAATTTATTTTAACGCTTAAGGAAAGCATGTTGTCGTTTAAGACTTTTTGTTAAAACTCCAATGATCACCACAAACATTTTTTTATGTTGATAACTTTTAATTGGCCAGAAAGAGGACTCTCCACAGCTTCTAGAACACTGACCTGAAGGTTAAATCCCTCCTGGCAGTGTTATTCTATAAGCGTTCACTTAATCCAATGCTCAAGAATACTTTCACTTAAAACGGATCTCTCTTGGTGGGCATACTCTATACGGGGGTAAATTCAATCATTAATGAATTAAAATCTCAAATTTTCCTTGCCGTCGAAATAAGTTAACTAAATGTGAGCACTCTGTGGTTTTCCCAAATAAAGATTATTATTAAAACTCACTTTGGTTCATTGTTATATTATGTCCAAAGCAAGAAATTTTTTCCGACTACATTTTAATCTAACCTCAAAGTAGCTTTTGTTGAAAACGGTGGACTTACTTCTTGGTGTGTGAAGTTAATAAGTAAAATAAATAAAGTGTCATACAACTTTAACGATGCAAGTATTAGTAACCCACTTTTCAACACTTAATCTGCTCGCAAATTTTCAAAAGCTTTCAAACTAAATCATAAAGCCGCGCGCAACTAGCATAGCTCCGTTATAAATGTTGTTGGCGGCAACTGTTATTCCACTGCCGCAGCAGAAATTATTTGTTATACCAACATAAAAAGGAATATCACCCTCCTACCCGATTGCGTTGACATTTTTGAACATGTTGCAGTACTTTTATGCGACAGCTGCACTTGCTATTGGTGGTGGGGTAGTGGCACCAACATATGTGCGGCAACTAAATTTTCCCAAGCTAACCAAACTTCTTAACGTACTTGGTAAGTTTAATTTTTTCCTGCGGAAATAACTTATTTGCCTTTTTAAATCGTTCGTCTGTTACATCTTTAGGATTTGGAAATTATGTCAACTTTCGGACGAAGTTTTCGCTGCAATGCATCACCACTTCCGCGCGCGCCTCGTTGGCCATTCGAACGTCGCCACTTTGCTGCATGACTAATTTACCAGGCGCGCCCGATGTGGCTGTGCCTGCGCTGGGGTTCCTGCCTTCACCTCTGCCTCTGCTCCTGCTGCTGCCCTACAATGTGCCAAAATTGTTACAAGTGAACACTTGATTTGTCGTCGCGTGCCACCGCCACGGACGACACTACCACTTAGCGTTCTTTGTAGCCTAAAAATTTGAAGTGACTTTGGGTCCATTCAACCAACTAACTAACTTTTTCGCCTATGCAGTAACTCTGCTCGTATGTGTGCATGTGGTGGTATGTGTGTTGGTGTCACTTTGGTGCTTTAGATGCGCACGCAAAAGTAGCATCTTTCATTCTTGCCCAAAATTTGTCGTGAATTTTTTATGTGCTGCTTGCGGCACAAAGCGACGTGTTTGGCCCACTGTGCGCTAAGTCGTTTTCGCATATCCTGCTGTCCAACGCCGACTTGGGAAATGGTCAACGGCTGTTCTGCGTCGAGATAGGCAGCAAGTCGTTCCATTTGCTCGAGCTTGGGCTTGTCTGTTGCCGTTACGAAAGCTCTCTGAGCTTTTGCACAATGATTACAACAATAAAAGAAGCCTTAGTTCAAGTAAGTATTTTCGAGAATGTGAGTTAAATAAAGTGTTTTAAATGAATGTCACAGGCGTTTGAAAAGCGGCTGCAAGTCTCGGAGGTTTTATAGCACCGTGCAAGTTTCTAGATCTTATTTATTTTTTAAATGCTTGTAATTTATTTTTTTCCTGCTTTCCTTGCTAACTGGGTCAGTAGTTAAGTAGTTTCCTGTAAAAAGCCAACAGTTCACAAGAAAATTGCAACTATTTAACTCGTTGCTTCTTTTCATTTCAGGAAATTAAAAATGCAGCTTAGAGAATATTCTCAAAAGAAGATGATATACTTAACTTCCTAAATTATTTATAAAACTTTTGGATATGTAAATGAAATGAAAGTAATTAAAAACTGAGGAAAAGTGAGCACAGAAGTATTATTTTCTCATAAAAACCGTTGCATTTGCAATTTCGACCACTTCTACATCAGAGTCATGTCATGACATTATTATTAATTTAACTATCTATTTCAAAGTAAATAAGTCATAAAGAAAGAATGAATATATAGCATATGAATTTTTTCCTAAAAGTAGTCGCAGCTAAGTTCATAGTTAATTTTTTTAACAAATTCGTATGAAAGACCAACATATCTTCCCTCATGCTTAATTTTATGTTTATGACACTGATAGTTATTGCGCCCTATTAATTTTAAAGAAAGTTTGAATAAGCGATGTCAGGAGATTGTGTAACTAAAAAGATTTTCTCCATTTTTGTACCGTGTCATTTGAGCATTCGAGCATTGCATGAATAGTTCTCCTGTGGGATGGGTAAGCGCTGGTGAACAACCAGTACTTGGGCGGTTGCGATATTCTCTGGGCTCAGGAACTACTTCCGTCAACAAGAAGAGATGGAACCATGTAGACACTTTTCCTCCACTCTCCGCCTATCGCCTAAGGTGGAAAGAAAAACCTTTAGCGAAACAGACGACTTTTAATCTAGAATTGATATAAGCGACGTTTCAGCTTAGGAACCACTATAGCGGAGATCAGCCGTGTCACCTCTTCTAACATCAGCCTATCTCCTATACATATAAACCGGAATGTTGGTAGTAGAATGTAAATAATTCATGAATATTATTTTTAGTAACGCCTGGTGTAGAAAGAACTAACTAAAGAACTCAAATGTTTAAGTTTGTGGCGTTGAGTTTTTGATTTATTTGCGAGTGCACTCTCTGCAACGTTAGTGGACATAATGGGATATTCGTATGCATTTCCCCAGAAATAAATATGTACATCCGCTGATATTTTCAAAATTATGATTTGCCTAAACTTCAAACCAAGTAAAATGGATTCATTGCCAAGTGGACTTATTCAAATTGAAACCCTAGAGAACAAACACCAACGAAAAGTGCAGACGGATAAGAATTAAATGCCAATGCTAAGTCATCCGGGCATATCCATTGGAGCAACAGAAGAAACAACAATGTTGACTGCGGCACCGTTAGACTGCAACACGTACGTACACTTTAACGGCAAAGCAAGAAAAAAAGGTAAATAACAAAAAACGCATGCGGAATGCAGTATTAGCGAGTGCAGGAAGATATGGGCATGGCAGTTGAAGGATGGGCGAAAGTAAAGTTTTTGCTAGCGCATAAGCAAACGCACAATGTTTGTGCTGATTACAGTGCAAATAGCTTTTGATTTCACAAATCAAAACTTTTTGTGCGCGAGCGTGATTTATGTACGCGCCAGCGAGTAGCGAGTAGCACTCAATGCGCAAGCGAGAGAGGAGTGGAGTAGTGCTGTGGTGATGACACAAGTTGTGTGGGCCACTGGACACTGTAAGCAAATCAATGCCGTTTGCTTTTGCGTAGGATGTGGGACTAGGAGGGGAGGAAGGTGGCTGGCGAGTTCATCTTTGCTTGGCTTGCATGCACGGATGCGCGTTGCGGCGGACATAACAATGTTCCAAGTTAGTGGCAGCAACTTGCAACTGGCAACTGAAATCTTTTCTGACTTCCTAGATTACTTCCTGATTTGTGCCGTTGATGCCCAAAAGCATATCATTTCGCGCGGCGTTCAGCACTTATTAAATACACTTTGAGCTTCGGGCTTGATGGTTGGCTGGCGTTAGGCAACATGCAACCAACCGAGTTATGTGACTGTTGTGTCTTACTTACTTAGAGTTTATGTGCTTTGAAGACTCAGTATAACCGATACTTGCTCCTGGAAAAGAGACAATACTTGATTGATTGAAGATATGCATGTGAATCGACTTAGGAAACGTACTGTTGATATCCGATCGCTTATTTGACGCTAATAAGACAAGGTGAATTGAAATGTGAAAAAAACAGACATTTTATAATATAAAGTAAAAAGTGAGTTTCATCGATTTTTTTGCATATAGCAACCTAAAAAAAGCTGTGTGCAACTTTTGCGATTCATCAATTTAACCCATCATTTAGTGAATAGAAAGTTGCTAAATTCATTTCATAACTGTCACAATTGCTTTTATTATATATACTTTGTTTGCTAAAGTTGTTTTATTTTTGATAAAATGTAAGCAATTCATTAATTTACTCAGGTGCCATGAAAGCATACTGTTCGTTTGGTTTGCGGAAGGTTTTTAGATAGTATATAGGGTGGTCTTAATAATAAATTAATTTAAAAATTTTGTAAAATTGATCATACTCAATTTCTTCGGTTTATTTTAATTATTCTGTTAAAAAACATAATCTGGCTGCAGTTTTGATATTCGGCTTAAAGCTCCGAATTCACAATAGATTTCTTCCTTAACATCGATCCTAATTCACAATAGATTTCTTCCTTAACATCGATCCTTCAAAGCTGTCTAATGACGTTCAATCTTAGCTGTTGAGCGACTATCTGAGAATACCGATCGATCTATTTAATTGTTCGAGAATATATATTTTGGCTACAAACATTTCGTAAGAGAAAATTTGGCGTAATCGGCAGCATTTTGATAGATCTTTGTTTGCACTTATTATAGCTGTCGAGTTGTCTTTGCTTCTCTGCAAAACAAGTGTGCTAAGTTTACAATTTATTGTTTTTTTTTCTTGTTTATCCGAAAAATTCATTGTTGACTACATGCCCTTTATACAATACAATTCTATAGCATTCAACATCAGCATTTTGAGGCATTTTACTTTTGAACCAAAAACGCAATAAAAGTTGTTGACAGCAGTAATAAATGCATCGCTGCATTAATTACTCGTACATCGAGACAATTAAAAACTTTTGCATCCATAGTTTCGCATTCATACAAGTATGTCATACCCGTTGAAGCAATTGTGTTATAGCGTCTTGGATGTGTGCATTTGTTTTCATTTTTAATTGATCTTAATTGTATAGATTTAAATTCTTTTCTGATATACGTATGTCTGTATGTATGTTTAAACAACGCAATTTTTCTCATTTTTAGAAAATACGATTTTCCAATACAGAACACAATAAAATGTAAGGGTTGTTTATGATTTGAGTAACTGCTGTGAATTTATAAGTAAAATTTATCTAACATTAATATCAATTCGTATTTCAGCGGAGTTTCGAGAATAAAGTGTTATTATTGTGATAGTGATTTATTTGGGTGACTTGTTGTTGTGGTTCCATCGACATTACCTACTTTTATAGGTGAAGCTTTGCACCTGATTTTTTTTTTCTATAAAAATACATATATGCTGCTGCCACTTGGTTGCAACTTCAAAAATAACCTGAATTGTGAGTTGAAAAATTTGAAAGCAATAAGGCAATCTTCCTGAGTTATTTATAGATTATTTTGGTTTTAGTGGCAAGCATGTAATTTGTCTCTAGTCTGTAGTTAGGTGGCATGTTGCACAAAAAGAAAAAAAATATTTGTTTGTTTATTTACTGTTTTACTTAAATTCCCCTTTCCGGTTTAAATATCGCTCAAATTCTGAACCTCGAGCAATGTTGGCTAAAGACTTGATGAATATCCCAAAGTTTACTGACAGATTCTCGTATTTTCACTATAATTACAAATACAACATTATTCTTGTTATGCTATGTTGCGCCAATCTCGTAATGATTTAAATGAACAATTCTTTTCAAAACTTTTGATTGCGGATTTTTTAGGTTATTAATTATTTACTCGCATATACTATCTAAACAACTCGATCCGAACTGCCAAAAAAAACAATATTTTTACCTATTCTACTATAAATCTTTATTAAAGATGTGGATAAACGATTCACATGAGACAACTTTTCGATGTCTTCACAACCTACACTAAATGCTTTGTGCCACTCACATACTTGTGCACGTGTTAAAGTAGACTCCATAAAACACTTCTGCAAAATTTAGGATCAATAATGAACCCGACCGAGTCAAATATACAAGTATACTAGGTATACCAAACAAAAATTTAGATTAAATTTAAACTTTTTTTTTAAATTTTTTGCTGGTATTTTATATACTTAAAGTGGCTAGCACGTCGAAAATTACCCTGATCAACCATGTAATGGAAATCGACGATCAAAGGTGAAGGTATTTGATGTCTGCGTAAACAGAACGGACCTGGATTTATATCCTGCCAAGTATTGTCAACTTGCTACCAAACAATAACAACAACAACAATGAACGGTTACTTACAAGGTATTGAAAAATATGTTTTTTGACGGCAGAGGTAAGTAATAATGAATGCTTTTTAAGTCGAACAATGTACACCCAAAGTATTTATTTAAAGTGTTTTTTTGCGATTTTGCTAATTAATTTAAACCACTCAATGATCTATAACAAGATGTTAACTTAATTAACTTAATTAATTTAAACATACAAAATTAAAAATGACTACTTTAACACTAAATAAAAACAATTGCATGACCAAAGGAAAATATTTTTTTTTTGTGCTTTTGGGAATGAATTTAAGTTTTCAATTCAATCTACATGCGAGTCGCTTGGTTATGTCATTGATAATTTTGACTCAATAAATCACAAAATGGAATAACACCAAAGCCAAATTCAGCGTCCATTCGCCGGATCCGAAGCAGCACATATACGTATGAGCACTTAAATACATATGTAAGCGTGCGTGGATAAATAAACAACAATGGTGATTAGAGTTGGACCGTCGAATATTTTGTCACATTATTTATTTAAGTTGCAAAACAGTTGACAGCTTAGAATTTATTTGCGCAGCTATTGAATTTTATAGCCAAATTAAACTTGCCCAGCTAATAAGCGAACGACGGGTATAAGACAGACACACACACACGCAACTCAGATGTACATGTATGTATGTATGTATATGTTTTGAGTACATTTTGTGCTGTTGCTGTCAACATTGTCATTTGTTGTCGATGCCGCAGTGGCAAACAACTATTTGCTGTTTGCCATTTGCCACATGCCACACGCCACATGAGAGTCGCCTAAAATTTCAATTAATACACTATTTAATGGACGTTTGCTGTGGAAAATTTGGTAGCCATGGTCAATGTTTA